TCTTCTCTTCTCCCTCCTGTTGGCTGTTCTTGTAGAATGCCAACAGCGTACTCCCCGTCTCAATTAATGCCTGAGTTTGTAATGGACCCCTTCCTCCAGGATGAGGCCCGGCACAGAAGGGGCTGCTGCTGCTGCTGTGGGTGAAGCTGCTCTGATTGCCTCAATACACTGCCGGCTTTCGGAGTCACTGCAGATGTCTGCTAATTGTGGTGATTATGGCGAGCGAAGGGGGGTAGGAATATGTAATGAATTTCCCAGTGCTTTCATGGCTCGCATGCTTCATGTGCATCTGCTGTACAAGCTGAGCATCCGCGAGGCTCAGAGACTGACAAAAATGACACAGGGCTTTACCATTTGCATAGGCAGATAATTTAATATGGACTGCAGTTAGATTTGTGGTCACTTTTTTTTCATTTAGCAGTTTAGTTACTATTCAAAGAACTTTATGCTTTATCCTTATTGTCTGGTTTATTACATGTATTGGAAATTAAGTAATTTGCCACAATGTACAACTTATACAGTATTTATCTATTGTATCTAAAAAACAATACGTATTATCCTTTAACAAAGGTAAATCCTGTGTCTTTTCAGATTCTATTACTATGTATTACTAGCAGCTTGAATATATGAATTAGGTAGCAGTTGTTAGCCTTTACCATCATTGTGGCAGTTTTAGGTGGTTTAAATAAAGCCAAATAAAACTGAAACATGTGCTACATAGGGTATTATACATATATTATTATTATATTATTGAGACAGTTTTCATGACACATTTTCATGAAGTTGATCAGAAACCCCAAACAACTGAATTGTACCTTAAATTTATACTTGGCCAGCTGTCCATGTTTCTTCAATTTGATATTTATTCAGTCTAATCTAAGAGCATCCGTATGCATACTAACTCCATATAACCATAAAAATGCTCAAAGTGGATGCTGAGCTCATTTAAATGCCTATGTAAATGACTTGTGCAGATTACCAGCCTATTAAAACTGCCGGATTATACATGCAACCTGAATTTCTGCACATACCGGCCCTCTTGGTTATCATCATGCCACTATGGACATGCCACTCTGGACACTGAACTGGAACAAATCATATTCATAAATTTAGCATATTAATGAACTTAAATATCAGACTGCCTCTCTCCCTCTCTGTTGCTTGTGTGATTATTGTGGATGTTCTTTTAGCGAGGCAAGAGCAAGCTAATTCCTTCGAGGCGAGTGCCCTTCCTGTCAGTATGATCAAAGCCTTTCCGTTGATACGAGCCTAGACCGTCAGTGTGTGTGCATGTCTATGGGACTATGGGATGTGAGTATGAGGTGGGGGTGTTGCCATCCCCCATCACCAGAGGCTGTATTATGCATTGTTGTTGCCCTGGCCTAAATGCTCAGCCGAGCATGGTCCAGTGTGGTACAGTAGACATGTCTCTCTCCTGACCGCCACACTTTCCCCAGGCCTTTTCGTTTACCTTTGCGTCCCGAATTAATGTGAGTTAGCTGTCACATAAGCTCAGATCTGTTGGGTCCCTGACGTCAACTGCAGAAAGTCTTACAATGATGTTGCAGGGTTGTGTCAGACAGTTTTGAAAGCTGGGGACTAGTGTGGTAGGCATTGCAAGAAAAATATACAACTATTTTTTAATTAAAACACATATTAAGACCACTTTGTATTATAAACCAAACCAAAACTTGAAGCTGGATACCATACTGTTTACAAAGAATAAGAGCTAACCAATGAACAGTTGAAATCAATAACTGTATGGTAAGTATAGCACTGGATAACCATAGCATTTGTTTTGATGCCAACTTGGTCCTATGAATTAAGGATATCTATCAATGAATAATGCAAGCTCAAAATGAGGGGATACTGATAGAGATTCACAACAAAAACACAATTAACAATTTTGCTAATGAACAAACCTTTAGATTTTTTAAAATACTGTGCTGTTATGATGATTTAAAATTCTGTTTTTCTGTGGATATTTCAATTTATCTGGGCTTGATAATGGCCTAAAGAGAACACTGGCTCATAATAATTTATAACTGAACTTTGAGAAGAGACATACTGCCACAGAAAGCGAAACATAACCAAACCCATGTAATTTCCTAGAGGCTAATATGGCAAAGCTAACTGTGATTTAGAATTTTAGGGTAAAAAGATTTTCAAGTAGCCAGATACTTGAGAACACATGTTACAAGTTGTATCGCAAGAGAAGAATGGCATTTTTGGCCAGTACCACTGCTACTGCAGGTGTTTCATTCACTGCCTCCAAAAAGGGGCCAGTGTATGAGGCGTGCTTGGAGGTTTGAATGGCTGGTATCTGCATATGTCTATGAATGTACATGTTTGTGGACTGAAGCATATATTCGCTGGACTGAAGTGAGTGCGTTAAATTCTCTTAGCATGTGTGACGAATCGCTTGGATGGGAAAAGAGCATGGCCCCTTACAAAGTGCAAATACTAAATAGCCTGCTTATCGATCACCTATATCATCTCCCACCCCCATTCTTACCTGTATCTTTATGCATCTTCTTAGATCCACAGCACAGTCTATCTCATATTATTTCTCTTATGTGCTAATAGATGATTCTGTATATGGGAGAGAAGCAAATCCAAGCAGCATCCCCCACTACTTGCCTTTCATACTAATCTATAGTCCCTGTCTGAGAAGGGCCTCCTATTCTCTTGCCTGCCCCAAAGCTCCTTATACATGACCCTTGAGTGTCTAACCCACACCTCTCTCCCACGCCTATGAGCCAGTCACTTACACTTACATGTACAAATACTCAGAGAAAATTTATTAACGGCAGTGTACAGAATCATAATAGGAGGCCACAGTGCTTTTGCTGTTGCATGGGTTAACTGACAGGGCTGGTTACTGCATGATGTGGCCCAGAGGTGAGGGCAATTTTAAGGGCAGACTGACTAACACAGCTGCTAGCATAGCACGTGTCTTGCTGAAAGAAGTGACCTCAATAAAGACGGACGTTTGCCAGTGAGTTACATAAGTGATGGGGGATGATCTTGAGGTGGTGTTTGCATATGTAACAGGGGCTCATGCATTGACAAATACAACTATAGTTTAAGATAGTTTCAGTGTTTACATACGTTTCATCCAGTTTTAAACTGACCTAAACATTTAGAGTGCCCAGATTGGGGGTTGTTAATGTAAATTAATGTAATGATAAAATTGTGAAAAGAGTGTGCAAAAGAGGAAAACTGTAATACAAACTGTCCATTCATAACTATAATTTGAGAGACTTGTCAGAGCAATGCAAATGACTACATTTTTTTTGTGTTCTGGTCATTTTCAAGAATGTTTTGTTTTTTGTTTTTTTTTTGGATTTTGGCTAAACAAATGACTATTTATTCCCCTTTTTACTGTTGGTGGGTATCACATTGGTCAAAAATAGACACCAGGGATATTCCTTGTATAAAACTAGGACAAATCAATTGTTTTGGATACACCCATTGGGACAGGGGACACCTTTGTGTTATTGTTGCATAAAACATGTCTGGTATCTCAAAACCATCACTATCATTACATGTAGGGGTAAATTTAGTAATTAATTGACTGTATGGACACACAAAGCCATAGGAAATAATGTATGTTCTTTATTCCATCAGAAAACTACTAATATTGTGAATGTTCTTCTGAAGATTTTAATATCAAGTATAATGTTTATATAAGAAAGGGTGCAAAAAGAGCTGTTAAAAATGGTAATGAAAAAACTGTCAGAAACTTCCAAATAAAGTTTATAGTCATTTCACATTTGTATGATACTTAAATGTCAACAATATTTTTCACATAATTCAAATCATATTTCTCGTAGGCTACCATGTTATCATCTGAATAGTGTTTTCAGGATATGAGAAATTATTGTTGTCAAATAAAACATCTATACATGCAGTTCAGTCAAGCCTAATGGATTGAGCTATAATTTGTGAATTGGCCATTGAAAAGTTTTTAACAAGTCCAGACATGTTTTGTTTCAGGAAGGGCATCCGGTATAAAAAGCATGATCAAACGAATAATTATCATGTTAATTGATAGGAATAAATCAAAGCAAACCATTAACTGAAATGTAAGTAAGTCCAGGATTTAAAAAAACAAACTAATACTAAATCAAGTGTCATATAAAGACATTTCAAGCATGTCAAGAAAACACATTTAACTCTTTCTTTTTAATCATCATATTTATAAGAGTCTGAGTACAAACCACACTTCCTTGAGTTACAGTAAGCTCTCAGAAGTGGTTGTACAGTAAATATATCAGGGTACTAGTGTAGCTCTGTGAGAACAGAGCCAGTCTGTCTGTGCTGCTCAGAGGGACTGAGGGACGGCGCGTTGGCTGCACTCCTCACTCTGACCCCACCCCTGGTAAATACAGGGTTGGAGCTTTCCTCTGTGGATAAAAATACACAGACTCTCACACGACACTTTTCTTCTCCCATTGTGCACAAAGAAAGGACAGGAATTAAACAGAATCTTGTGAGGTCTATTCAGATGTTTGAAAAAAATAGTAGCGTAATGTTTTGAATGTTATGAATTATATATTTTTTTTATTTTGACATTTGCTCACTTAAAGGTGGACATTGTAACTTTTCTAGTGAAGGGGTTGCCACTGCTTGTCTTAACAGAGCTGTTAGCTTTACAGTGTGGCATTATTCTTATACATATGGCCAAGTTACAGGTCAGATATGTGGAGAGGCGAGCCAGAACACAGTAAGATCACTGTACTGTACTTTTAATATCATTCCACATAATACATTTCCAGTGTCATTTGAGATTTGAAACTTTTTTTTTGGTGTAATATTGTGTGTCTGCATAGTTGGCAACATAATATGCATTTCTTACTTTTCTTGTTGCAGATTTCAGCTTTTTGGGGTATATAGTGCATTTATAATGCAAAAAATCACACAAGAGTATTAACCTGTGACTTCATACACCTTTTTGTCCGTTTTGAGTTGCCATAGAACTCAGCCTGTGACATCATCATCGTGTGAGCTCACAGGGACCTGAACTGTCAGAGCACGGTTAACCATAAACTAGACAAGATCCAGACATTTGTCAAAGCAACAGGCTTTCCGAAGCTGCTTTACATCTCATTACTATAGCATAAATGTTTCAGTAAGGCCGTTTTAGTTTCACAATGTTGACAAAAAGTTGGACTGTTTTTGAAGACACATTTTCCTGGCTACTTCCTTGTTTCAACTGCCTGTCGTTGTGAGTATCAGTAACTGATTTCACATTTCTGTTTCCTTTATAAATCAAGATCTAACTGACTTAAACTCTTAAACATAAAAAAAAAAGTTCATTACATTTTCACATTTCACATGTTTTTTCTCCTTTAAGGTAACAAGAATGGACTGAGCACCTCCCTGTTCAAAGTTGGCATACAAGACATGTAATGGCATAGAGTTGTAGCAAGAGCCATAAAGATGAGTCAGCGGGAGAGTGGAGATACAGGAACAGGAGTAAAAGAGGTGATAGACTTACTAGCCAAGACACCTCCAGAAAGACTGCGCAGCCTAACTCACCACCTGGGCCCATCCACAGAAGAAGAGATTGTGCATGCACTGTGCCTGTTCATTCTGCAAAAAGAGGTGCAAGCTTTGGATAAACTTCAAACGCATGCAGATAATATCCTCGCTAAACATCTGTCTGAGAAATGGCAACGAAGTGCAAGACAGTTTGAAATCTTTAGAGTCCATTGTGATAATTTCCAAGAATCAGAATCTTTGGCAACACTGGCACGAATTTTTAAAGTTTTAACTCAGCATGGATTGTGTGATAGGAACGTTCTAATTTTGGCTTATACAAGAGCACTCCCAAATGAATCAAGCGACTCAGATGTTTTGCAATACAACCTGTTCATGGAAGAAGCTAAGCAAGTGTGCGGACCTGAATTTGTTGAATTTTTGAGTTCTTTTAACAATTTAAAATTATCGTCTGGCTTCCATAGCAAATCATATGTGCGGAATAATTCTGCAACAACAGGTTCAGCTCAGGCATATGCAAGAAGCAATGCACCATCATCACTTCATTCTTCCTATCGTTCTTATCCATCTCATCTAGAGATTAGTGAGGCTCCCACAGTTAGCGTCAACAATGCTAAACCTATAACACCAACCAGTTTAGCTTCTGTCCCTGGAAAACCTATGCAACCCGGACAAACTGAAAGTCATATTATTGTGAACCCAAGTTGTAGGGTGCATGGAAAAAATCTGAATTTCACGAACCCACAACCACCAGCTGATCCAACAAGTAGACCTATTCCAAAGGGGTCATTGCCGCCATCATCAGTAGCAGCAGCAGCAGAAGAAAAAGAAGAGACAGAACAAGAAGAAGAAGAGGAAGAAGAAGAAGAAGTGAGGTTTTATTCTTTTGCCATTTTGCATGCGCAACAAGATGCAGAATTGGCTGAGGCATTGAAAGAGAAGCTTGAGGGTATTATTGAAAGTGAAGGTGCAACTTATACTGAGGAATTTGCTGTGGTTGGAAAAGCTGTGCTCAGGTGTGTGGAGGACGCCATTAACAACTCTGCTTTCACCCTCCTTCTCCTCACCACCAACTTCAACCGATTTCTGGAATTGAAAACTGACTCTGCACTGGTTAACTCCATTTTGAATCCTCCAAAATACAACACTGTGATACCACTCCTGCCACAAAGCAACGCCATGCCCAGAGAGGACATCCCCATGGTCCTGAAAACCTTAGTCTCACTGGATGAAAAGAAGAACTTTGAGAGGAAAGTAAAACAAGCAATGACCCCTGCAAGGATAAAACGCCAAAAGGTGGAATGGAAGAAAGTGCAGGACATGAAAAGTCTCAAGAAAAAACAGGAGAAGTTGAAACGCTCCAATCAGCAACAACAAAAGGAGAATGAGGAGCTAAGGAACATGCATGTTCTGGAGCAAGAGAGACGAATGCTTTTGAATGAGAGGTATCACTTTGTCCAAGAACAGACGGTAGGGCCTGATAGGATACAGCTGTGGCAACAACAACAGCCAAACATCAACATTGCAAATGCACAGTATATCATTATTGGGGACCACTCTCAAATGGCAGTGGACCTGAGCAGAGAGACTGGAGACACGGACCAGAAATGAACTAGGTCCAGAGAATGAAAGAAAAAATGCTACATCACTGATTTATGATATGTCTGAGCAATGTGTTTATTTTAGTAGTTGAGTTCAATGAGAGAACAGCAACAATATTTCAAGGGCACTATGAAACATTTCTGGTGGCAGGCAGGTCTGTGTCCATGGAAATGTACCTGCTTTGCCTGAAATGTTCCATGGAATGGCATTAAAATGATCTTCATTAAAACAAGCAGCTGACACCACCAGGCCAAGTAACAGGTCAGGTGTGTAGAGAGACTCGCTGTAAGATATTGATTTTTGTTTTTGTTTTTTTAGTTTTTGACTTCAGTTTTTTTCATTAAGCAATGCAAAATAGGATAAGTAGACTAATGGGTAGAAAACGCCAGAAAAGTAAAGTTAATATAGACAATAGGTGATAATTAAAAATAGCCTATTGAACAAAAACGCAAATGGAATTAGTTATGGTGTGTCTAACCCAAAAAGCTGCTATTACAATACTAAATGCACTTATTTATATCGTAATTCATTGATGTAGCTCTGTTTGCTTATAACACTACATTTTTCACTGATTTTTAAAAAAAAAATCTCATGTTGAAGTGCTGCCATCTACTGACGCTTATGGAATCTATTTTACACTTTGACTGCATCAGCCTGCTTTTACCACTAGAGGGTGCTGTTGATATGCGCTTTTGTTCACTTAGCTCATGACAAATTAAATGATTTATACCTCATGGTTCTGTGTGATTTTTGTATAAACTGTAGAATGATGTAGAGGTTCGTAATGAGTGATTAGTTTATAGGATTAGGCTACTTAGAGCGAAAGCGTGTAGGTCTTTTAAAATAAAATACACTGAGCTCTGAATTGAAGCTATCAGTCAAGTTGTCTAATATTTAGAGAAAATGTATATATAGTATTACAATGATGCTGATAGAGCTACATGTTTGCTACTTCGATTCGGGCAACTTTTATAAACTCACTTCCTAGGCTTTAAAACTGATTGTTTGCTTGCTTATAGAAATAACGGAAAAAATACAAAAGTTGTCCCTAAAGAAATCCTCAGTCTTTTCAAATCAATAATTAATTTCTGTCACATAATCTGGGAAAACTCTTGCATTTATGCCATCGTATTCCCACATGTGAGCCCCTCCTGGTTACACGACACTGTAATAACTGAAAAGGCTGGGTGGGTGGAAGGCGCATGCGCTGTTGGCTCCCTCCTCTTTGACCAGTGCGGCAGGAAAAGCGCAGTGGAGACTTCACCGAGACAGAGGGAGCGGAGGAAAACAGTTATAAGGGAGAAAAGAAGAAAACATGGACGAGCGGGGAGTTTTGTCTCTTAAATGGTCGTGTGGGACGTGTCGTGGCTTTTGACGCACACGAGCTGCTCCGCTTTGGTGATGAGATTTATATCAGGGAATGGGAATCTTCAGGAATCCTTCTGAAAACTGCTCTCGGCTTCTTCCAGACACTAAGGAGCTAGATGTTAAAGTCAAGATGGTGTTGATGTAACCGACTGTTAGCTATAGCCTACGCCAAGTCGCCGTACGTCAGCGTAAAGTTTTCCATATTTTCCTGGAGAAGGGGGAGGTTTTGCTGCATTGAATTCCTCTGGTCGGGATGTCATCCGCAGCCAAGAGGACTTCCTCTGGCTGACTGCTCCTCCAGCCGTAGCGGTCCCGGGCCTGACACACGCGGAGGGAAAGATGGGAGATGCAGCAGACGACAGAGGGATGAAACGCACATTCATTGTACCCACAATTAAGAGCTTTGACCACTATGACTTCACCAGGGCCAAGATCTCCTGTAGCTTGACGTGGCTCGTGGCCAAAGCCTTTGGCTCTGGTAGGTGGCTCCTAACCTCACTGGGATTATATTGTTATGGAAACAAGTCAATCTCCTTGAGTCATGCATGCCTCTGCCTTTACATTGATTCTTGTCCACATGACAGTCAGACTTCAGGTCACAGGTCATATCCACTAAGCCACTTTTGATGTCAGGATTTAACTTGTTGCTGGACTTTAGCTAATTATTCCTTTCTGTAAAGCCGCTTATGTAACCCCAGTGTTAGGCTGACAGACCACTGTCAGTGCACTGATGTACAGGGGCACTAAGTGATATTTCAAATAAAGCAGACAACAACATGTTTGAGTTTCCACTGTTCTGTTTTAGATCTTTATTGTGTTAACAGTGGATTCAGTTTTAAATACTTAATAATGTGCACAGATGTGCAGACTGGGTGTAGGCCTATTGTCAAGGTTTAACAATGTATTATTATACACTGAGAATAAGAGTACTGGTGAACATGCACTATTCAGTCTCAGTAGTGATTTCTTTTCATCATTTAGAGATTATTAATATTGCTTGTCTTCACCTTTGTCTCTTTTCTTGTCTGATGTACAGTTGTCCCTGTGGTCTTAGAGACCTCAGAGTTATTAAGGCTGAGTGACTCTGGAGCCCAAAGTGTCTAATGAACACTTAAACAGCTGTTTCTTCATCTTCCTTAAACAGTATGGACTGGCCATGAGCCTGCCACACACAAAGAGGAGACACATCAAAAGACTCAGTTGTAAACTAATTACCTAATGGTTTTCAACTGAAAGTCAGTTTATAGTAAAATCCAGACACTTTGTACAGTTACAGTTAAACTTTAGCATAAAGTTGTCATGTTGTTTTTCCCATCTTTCTTGTGACACACTTTAAAGTCCCGGTGAGGCAAGACGAGAACTGTGGCCCCAATTCATGGCCGGTCCTCAGAGTCCTGTTTGTCCTAGATTGAACAGATGGGCCATAGTGGAACAGTCCTAATAAACAGGAGAATTATATGTTTAGAACATTCAGAGCTCAATTCCACTCAAGTGTGACCTGCAAAAGGCTAACTGTGAAATTTAGTGACCCCAAATCAAAGTGTTGAAACCATCATATTGCAGTATTATAAAAACTTTAATTCAGTTGTGCCAATAAAAATAATGCTGATACTTCCGTTTTAAAGTGGTCCTAATAGTAATTCTGGATTTATTTTTACACATTACTCCACTTATTTGTAAATTGTCAGATGTTATTGTATTATTTGCCATTTATTATTTCATCTTATTGATTTGGAACTAGGTTTACCGACAAAGTAAAGACTTAAATATGTTCTACTTTTACACTGAATGTCTGATTTCTTCTGCTCTGATAGCTCTGACCAATGGAGATCAGTGAAGGTTAATATAAGCAACTAGGAAAGAAAACTAAAAGGTCAATAAAGGTTAAGAATATTTCACCTCTTCAAAAATGGATCACACTCTTATCTTCAGAAACAATGAAGCCAGGACCGTCACTCGTTCTATATGTTATGAAAGGTCCTATATTACACAAAATTGACTCTCTTGAGCTTTAAGTCATGTTATAATGTTGTTACCTCATCAAAGACATACCCAAAGTTATGTGATGTCATGATTAGGGATGTAACAATATCCATTGGATATTGAGAGAAGTTGATTTGGATATTATCCAAATCTTTCAATATGATATTTTCACAATATACAACTCTCGACATGATATTTATTGTGAAATTCTTTGGAGGCAAACAAAACTGTGAATATGCTACTTTTTCCTCTTAAAATGCCTTGACAAGCCTTAATCCAAAGAACTAAGACTTAAAAGTGTTTAGAGCTGTTATTTCTTCATGTAGTCTGCATTGAAATGGAGCAAAGGATCATGGTCTATGTAGTTCTCTCTTTTTTAGCTATTGCTGCACCATAAATCTTAATTTAAGCAAAGAAACTTGTAATTCAATATATTGTGATGGTCCACAGTATTATTGTGAGAACTTTGATGATACGATATCACAATATTTCAGATATTGTTACATCCCTAATATTAAATATGTGTGAATGAAACAAAACACAACTTCAGGTATGTTTTTGGTGAGGAAACAACATTATAACATAACTCAGAAAATAGTGCAACACTTCCATGAAAACAACTGACTTTAGCAGACAGGTAGCAACACCAAAATTAAATGCTTTAGGTGATACTGTTTGTTCTGTATATTCATTAAGTTAAATGCTTCAAACCCGATGAAAGCTAAGTCACATGCTGTTGGTCTGTCAAGGCATTTTTAAACCAAGAAGAAGGCAGCGTGAGAAGTCACTTTGTTATCAGCATTATGAAGGTCTGATCTAATTTGTGTAGAAGCTATAAAAATGGAACACAATACATTTAATTTTATTTCATGTTAAGAAATGATTATAGCAGTAGAGATAAACACTGATGACCATTATAGCCTTTAGGATTCAGGGTCCCAGGGGAGTCCAGCAGCAGTCTTGTCCATGCCTGCCTTTCCTGTAGCGGCTACTTCCTGACTGTTTCCTCTCTTTTACACAAAGAGTTTCAGTTGACCTAGCAGATTTTTATGAAACTTGAAGTAACTAGGAAACTTCGAAAAATGTGGGAAGAAATCCTAATAGCATTTCTTTCTGACAGTTATTGCAATTAGAATTAGATTAGCAACTATTTTGAAATTTTGGCTTGACTGACTTCACACGTGCACATTTAAACATATCCAGGGGCATTAACATTTGAGAGAAAGATATTTTGTTCTTTGCAGATGACATTATTTGGATCATTTGGACTTTTTGTTTTGATAGCCAATTCAAACTGCATTTTCTATTCAGTTGTGATATATTGTAACATGCACCTATGAATATAGTTTAAGAAGATTTTACCTTGTATTTTCTAGGGGATTATAATGTAGGTACAATGATTTGATAAAGTACAAGTAAGAATTGTCTAACATCTGTGTGCTGCTTGAAATAGCTCTTTTAGTTCACAAGCCAGAGGCATTGTACCAACCACCACTACTGGGAAACGTCTGTGGTGCAATCACAAGCTTTGAGTGAGGTTAAACTTTAAATATTTAATTAATAGTTACATAGGACCTCTGTCAAAGAAGACTGTTTCTTTACTCTTTCTGGTTAGTGTGTTGTTTTGTTTGTCTATTGCAACACAAAGTCAACAGGGGCAAAAAAGGCAAGAATGGGCCAATGGAAAAGATGATTATTATTGGGCTTAGTAAGGATTTTTATAATTTATAATATTCATTGTTAATTTGGTAGCTCCAAAAATAACCCATAGTACTACTTTGTACCATTGACATTGTGTATATGTTTGAAAGCATGCTTGTCTTGTTACATGTATTATTGTAGGACTAGCTTGTTTGTTGCTGTATGATTCAGAAGTCAAAGGAAATGTCCCACACACACCAGGAATACATTGAACACATTCCTAAACATAGTGTATGCATTATGGCCAGTGACAGCTTGATGAGTAGCATAGCTGTGAGTCAGTGCATTGGGTTAACAACAAGAAGCAACAGTGCTAGATTAGTGGTTTGGTTCAGATAAATCAAGAAAACTACTCAACTGCTCTCAAAATTCTCTTTACAACGAACTAATTATGTATTATCAAGATGGGTAGCAGTTAGAAGCCAGAGTGTTGGCTACTAAGTAGGAGTACTGTTACTTCAAAATTATATTACTCAATTACTCAACAAGGTAGTGACCCAAGAAATTGCCAAAGTAAGAGTATGAGCTACAATTTAAGTAGGAGTAACTGTAACTGGATATGACATCAGATTCATAATTAATAGGTAATGTAACTAGTATTTTCAATTTATAGACCACAAATATAAATGTTCAAAGAGTTTATTATAGTCAAAATAATTTTTTTGTTGCTGTGGGAAGAGTAACAAAAAAAAAAAAAAACATATACTCAAGTGGACTGTATAACTCAATTAGGAGTAAAGTTTGGGGAAAACAACTCTTACATTATTAGTAAAAAGTAACTCAGGTGTGTACTTGAATAAATATATCTGACCTCTGCCCTAAATTGCTGAATATAAACAGTATGATGTAAAACGAGATAGCAAATATAGGGATTACAGAAAGGAATCAATCAAATGCCACACATTTGCTTTTTGAGGTCATATAATTTATTACCTATTGATTAATTTTTATGAACAGGTAAAAATGCCAGCTTAGACTTCAGATAAACTATAAAGGGTCCCATGTGGGGCTCGGATCTCTTTGGAATAAACTAAAAATGTTGAAAAAGCTGCTGAAGACCCATCTGGCCCGCCCATTATGTTTGCCTGCTTTTAGTAACAGTTCTTCTAATGGTGGTTACTACAGTAACTTTCCAGACACTTCTTAGAAACGTTGTAGCTAAAAATAAAATGCATGTTTTAATGGGAATTTCAGATTTTCCCTTTATAGAGAATGCATTTGAACTTGTAGCTTTGTCATGAAACCATAGCAACTACAACATTTGCTCTGGTATCCTGCTGACTGCTTGCTTCAGTGGTAATGATAGTGTTTTGGATCATGAACTGGCCTAAAATAACTTGGTCTCTCTCTTTCTTGCTGTAGATGCCGTGCCAGAGGAGCTGGTGGAGCCCTTCTATCGGGACCAGTACAACCAGGAGCACCTGAAGCCCCCTGTGGCCTGTCTCCTGCAGTCTGCAGAGCTGTACTGTAGAGCTGGCAGTCTGATCCTCCGCAGCGACGCTGTCAAACCACTGCTTGGACACAATGCCATCATCCAGGCTCTGGCACAGAAAGGCCTGTATGTCACCGACCAGGACAGACTGGTCACTGAGAGGGACCTGACCAGTACGCCCATACACATGGTGAGGGGGCATACACATGATGAGGGGGCATATACATGGTGAGGGGCATATACATGGTGAGGGGCATATACATGGTGAGGGGGCAAAACACATGGTGAGGGGGCATACACATGGTGAGGGGGCATACACATGGTGAGGGGCATAACACATGGTGAGGGGCAAACACATGATAAGGGGGCATACACATGGTGAGGGGCATACACATGGTGAGGGGCAAACACATGATAAGGGGGCATACACATGGTGAGGGGCATACACATGGTGAGGGGGCATACACATGATCAGGGGTCTTACACATGATGAGGGGCATACACATGGTGAGGGGGCATACACATGGTGAGGGGCATACACATGGTGAGGGGCAAACACATGGTGAGGGGGCATACACATGATCAGGGGTCTTACACATGATGAGGGGCATACACATGGTGAGGGGGCATACACATGATGAGGGGCTTACACATGATGACGAGGCTTACACATGATGAGGGGCGTACACATGGTGAGGGGCATACACATGGTGAGGGGCGAACACATGATGAGGGGGCATACACATGATCAGGGGTCTTACACATGATGAGGGGGCATACACATGATGAGGGGGCATACACATGATGAGGGGGCATACACATGTGAGGGGGCATACACATGATCAGGGGGCTTACACATGATGAGGGGGCATACACATGATGAGGGGGCATACACATGATGAGGGGGCATACACATGGTGAGGGGGCATACACATGATGAGGGGCATACACATGATGACGGGCTTACACATGGTGAGGGGGCATACACATGGTGAGGGGCATACACATGGTGAGGGGGCATACACATGATCAGGGGTCTTACACATGATGAGGGGGCATACACATGATGAGGGGCGTACACATGGTGAGGGGCATACACATGGTGAGGGGCAAACACATGATGAGGGGTACACATGTGAGGGGCATACACATGGTGAGGGCGTACACATGGTGAGGGGCATACACATGGTGAGGGGGCATACACATGGTGAGGGCAAACACATGGTGAGGGGCATACACATGGTGAGGGGGCATACACATGATCAGGGGTCTTACACATGATGAGGGGGCATACACATGATGAGGGGCGTACACATGGTGAGGGGCATACACATGGTGAGGGGCAAACACATGATGAGGGGCGTACACATGGTGAGGGGCATACACATGGTGAGGGGCGTACACATGGTGAGGGGCATACACATGGTGAGGGGCATACACATGGTGAGGGGCGTACACATGGTGAGGGGGCATACACATGGTGAGGGGCATACACATGGTGAGGGGGCATACACATGATCAGGGGGCAAACACATGGTGAGGGGGCATACACATTATGAGGGGGCTTACACATGATGACGGGGCTTACACATGATGAGGGGGCAAACACATGGTGAGGGGGCATACACATGATGAGGGGGCATACACATGGTGAGGGGCATACACATGGTGAGGGGGCATACACATGATCAGGGGGCAAACACATGGTGAGGGGGCATACACATTATGAGGGGGCTTACACATGATGACGGGGCTTACACATGATGAGGGGGCAAACACATGGTGAGGGGGCATACACATGATGAGGGGGCATACACATGGTGAGGGGCGTACACATGGTGAGGGGGCATACACATGGTGAGGGGGCATACACATGGTGAGGGGGCATATACATGGTGAGGGGCATACACATGGTGAGAGGGCATACACATGATGAGGGGCATACACCGGGTGAGGGTGCATACACACATATTTAGATAAGAATTTGTTCACCTAGTAAAACTGGGAAGGCAGTATAGTTTAGATTGGGAGTTTATGTTTTAGTTGATGCTCTAATGGATATGTGCTTGCTGATACAAATTTACACTAACTTACAATATTTTCTCATATACATACATACATATACATTTGTCATTAATATAAAGCCCATGTACTTGATTTAGGACATTTATATCATGTTATGAGCTAAACTAGAGTCAATAATTCTCAAAGCACTGAAACACTAAACATATGGCTAGAGCGTCCACTTGTGCTGACTCCAAATTGGGTCTGCATTGCAGTGCACCCCTCCTCTTCATGCTACTGTATCACATTCTACCTCAGCATTCCTCACTCTTTTTTGTTCAGCTATTGAAAGAAAAAAATGAAATTCCTGTGTTTACACTAAGCATGCATTTTGAACTATCTCAACTTGTGATGCAATTGGCATTTGAAACCGTGTTTAAGCTGAGAGTAGTAGCTTAATGATTTTATGTCCCTCTCAGCTGTCTAATCGTCTAGTACTCTTTATGAGGACTAAGTAGCCTGACCCATCTCTGTTATCACTGAAGTCAGTAGATACAGTAATCTCAAGCAGGAAAATCTGTGCTTTCCACTTTGGTAACAGAATGACCACACACACTTTTACATAATGTACAAAAAGGGAAAAACTCGCTCACATGTCAGAGAAGACTGGGGAAGGAGGAGGGTAGATTTTAAGGACTGCCATATGGCTTTGATCCAGAAACAGGGAAGCACTGCCCACATTAAGATTGCTAGAGCCCCATTACGTATTGCCTGGCTCCCTTCACAACTAATGTATGCCAAAAACCAAGTCGGAAAGGCCCAGTTTTTGCACCACCATCTGTTGGAGGGGAAAAGACAAGAAATACTGGGAGCATTGGGGAGGTTAAGCAGAGGGAGGATGTGATGTGCACTACTGCGGCATGGAGGTGGGCGGGGCCAAAGCATGTCTGGTGCACAAATGAGAGCTCCCCACATGTGAAGGCTGCTCAAAGTCACACCTTCAAGAACAATACAAAGCAATCTGCTACTCCTATACTATGCCTGAACAAGTGTGAAATCATTGCTAATTGCGATTTTGAGATTTTCACATTTAAATTGCCTACATTACACTATTTTCTAGTCTGTTATAATGTGGTTTCCTCATGGACAAAACATACTTGGAGTTGTGTTTTGTTTCATTCACACATGTTTAACTTGCAAACCCTGCATATTTAGAGTTCTTCTCTCAAACAGAAAACACTCTGTTATGCCTTGTGATGTCATTGGCAATATAGGAAGTACTGCACTGTGTTTTTAAACTCCATACACCCCCACTAGAATCATTTGGATGATTTCAGATCTAGAATTGCCCATGTCCAATGAACAAAAGATAAAAGGTAGCTGTTAAATTGAAAACTACTACTACATGACATCACAAGGTGGAAAGGAGCATTTTGAGCTTTGTAGATGTAGACAGACTAATAATAAAAGTCTTTTAGAACTTTAGGTCTTAACTATAGGGCTAGAAAGTTGTATACATAATAATACAGTAGGGAGGCAGATTATTTTGTGTTTAGACTTTATATTGCCATTAGCTGTTTGATCATTGCATTGATTTTAATTCCAGTTTCAATTTGATAATAATTGCTATTGACTGAAGTTGTTTTTTTGTTTTGTTTTTTGTTTTGTTTGATGATGATCCTATACAAAAAAAAATCCCACAACTATAAAAGAAGAAGAAAGAGGGTGTATATGCATCTAAAACTATCCCAGAATAAAAAAATATTAATATAGAGGGATATAACAGGTTTGTGCTAGCATGCAACTTTACAAGGTCATTCTTTAAGCTGGATAAATACACCATCACTATTTGCCTGCACGTACTTGACGTACAGGTTGTTGTAATGGTGGTCATTAAAAGCAATTGCTTAGACACACACATGAGACGTTCACACATAGTTGCATATGCACAGCTGTACCCTTTGATGAGTAATGTCCATTTAACACTAGCTCAATCTTGTAAAGGAAAGCTTACTTACAACTGCTGGTCACTAGCTACTGTTGTTAATGCCTTATAAGGAATGTCTGCCTGTCACCAAGTGTGGTCTAGACATGTCTCTGCTCGCGCGTGCACGCACACACACGCGCATGCACACACACACAATAGTAATAGAGAGCACATGTGTTCATACCTTGTTAACAGTAGCAGAGTATAGGATCACACCAGCACATCAATTTACAAGTCCTCTGCTTAACTATTAAAAAATATTGAGTTTTATGATAATTTATGCAACTGGATAAGGTTTAATGAAATTTGCCATCAGCCATGTCTCTTTTTAGGCTGTCTGTCACTGTAGCTGCAATGTGTCTGGGAATGTTTGCAATGTGAAATATCTGGCAATATCCTGAACATAAAAGAATCAAAAACAATGTGTGTTGATGTTTAAGAGGTAAGAAAGTGCCAGTCTCAGGAATTACACTTTTGAAATGCAATAATATAATAATAATACTAATGGCATCTTGTGATCGTGATAATAACTTCAAATGTTATATTGCAATGCGGATTTGAGTTGAAATTACTTTTAGCCCAATAAACATTTGCGTTTTTAACTAGTGAGTTAATATAAATAGGATAGCAGGATGTTTTTGTTGTTTTAAAAATAAATAATAATTCTATGACATAAAACATTTGTCATGTTGATTATGTTTAATTATTTATTTTATAAGTCATTCTCTTTTGTATAAACATTTCTATTAAAATTTTCCATTTTTCTATAAGATTGAAGAATCTGTGTAGCCTAAACATTAGAAAAAAACAATTTAAAAAGTGGAACATCTCCTTCAGCTGCTGAACCACATCTGGTGGATACATGTAAGAGAAACTATTTGAGTGAAAGCTTACTGCAGTTGTTTACATCTTAAACTCTCCATAGGCCTAATTGCCATATTTAAATAGCATATGTTTATCGAGATGTGATAACTCTATAAACTTTATAATTGATTATTTAAGACTGACCGTTATTTTTGGTCTTTGCAGACATGCATAGAGGTCTATGTTAAAGGTCTGGTGAGATGACGTCTGGCTGTTTGCATCTTTTTCCTTGACTCACTTGGATCAGGAGGAGTAGTAGCTCATGTTGGACTGTTGAACTGCAGATAGATGCTGAGCTCAGCATAAACAAACAGCCACATGTTTTTGTGAAAGCCAGCGGTGTGACAGGAAAAGGAAGGGAATGACTCCAGGACTGACCGGTCTGGAATGAGATCAGAAAGGCCAGGATAATGTCACGCTTTGTGTAGGTGTTGAGGGCTGCCAAAACAGTCTACTCTATAAATGTGAATGATTTCAAATAAGGCAATGAGTGTTTCTCCAAACTGCCTCAAAGACTGTATTTAAAGTGCTAGAGTAGGTCTTAAAATTACAATACAATTACAATGACCCAAGGTTCAGCAGATCACGCATTAATTTCTTTGGGCTTTATATTTATTAAGTTTTAGTTGGATTTCTTTATTGCATTTTGATTTGAATTGTGTGGTCAAATAAATATGATTAAAATTTGTTATACAGTTAATTTAGAAAAGAGTTAACTAAGATTATCCTGCTTTAGGGTTATTATATCAATATCTTAATGTGCAACTCAACGGTTATTGTAATGTTTTCTCTTACATTGTGTCCCTTTTCAGAATACTTGAATACTTAGTCATTCTTGATATCCTTGTTTGTAATGGCTTGGACTTTTCTTCCATCTTTTTCTGTTATAACTGATACAATTATATTATATAGTTATAATTGATTTGATGTAATAGAAAGTTTTTAACATGTATTTGATTAAGTAAAATAACCATTGCATATCTTTCCACAGAGCTCCCACTTGGCGCTCATAGACACTCTGATGATGGCCTACACTGTGGAGATGGTGAGCGTGGAGCGCGTTATGTCCTGCATCAACAGGTTTTCTGCTGCTGAGCCATTTCTTTGTGACGGACACGTGCAGGAGCTGCTGTATGACACAGAGGATGCCATCATCACTTGGATCAACAAGGTCAAAATAGTGAACATGCCAGACTTACTGGATACTTTCAGCTACTCTATTTTACCCCATGATTTAACATATAAATAAGCGTATGTATGTATATTTTATTAAACAGAGTAGGTGTAATTTTCTGCTACACTTAACATGCCATTAGATCATTTGTGTCTATCCCAGTGGTCAGGAGGGGATAGAAGGGCATGTTGCACAAAAAATGCATTAAATCACTGAAAATCACTTTACATTACGAGACATATGATTTGCAGGTGTCACTGTGGAGATGGAAATTTAAATGGAAAGAAAGTGCTTGCGGTTCAGGCCAGGGTGCATGTTGAGCTAAATCTAACTCCTCAGTACCATAGACAATCATACAGAGGTCCACATGTCAGTGTTGCCCATAGACTTTTGTAGACTATGGTGGTGCAAATTATTTCCATTTAATCTTATACATTTGTGGAGTATTAATGTCACTTACTATCTACATATTGATTTTTTTTGCAATAATTTCTGACCAGTGTAGTCACTTTTATAATGATATTGCAATGATTAATAAAGTTGTTGTACAGTGCAGGTTATTTTTAGACTATGGGGGCTACAGTCTCCTGTATTATTGAGAAACACTGCAAACACAGGTCAGTTGTAAATAAAAAGTGGCTGGGTTCAGCATCGGTCAAACCAAAACCTGCTGTTCTCATGGTTGTCCTCAGTTTTGGTGTAAAAAGCTGCTCTTGTTTGAAAACTTAAGGCACAGAGATCAACATGCGCGATTCATTTACACTCACAGATATCAAAACACACAGCTCATTGTCTGTGTACAGCCCTGAAGATACAGACCTTCTGTGCACAAAGAAAGCCCACTCTGAATCTGCTGGCTCATTCGTATGTTACATCATCAAGTGCAAAAAAACATAAGATGGTTTGAAAAGGTAGTGATTTCAAATAGTCACTTACCGTAAGTTATAGATAATATTGAATATTGGCTTGTCTTTGAACAGTATTTAACATTGGTGAATAGGCCGAGGGTTATACTGTGATGCTGAGGTTTCTAAATTTCTGCTTCCCTCGACACAACCCCCTCAATGACTGTGCTGCACATATTTGTGTGAAATGTGACCTCTCCATCACTGCTCTGCTCTGTGCAGGTAAATGAACACCTGAGAGACATCCTTGTGGAGGAGCACAAGCTGAAAGAGGCTGCGTTTCAAGATAACACCCAAAAAGTAAGAACAAATTTGGGATAATAATTATTAGAAAGTAGTTCTGTTTTATTTAGATCCCAGGGTATATCAGGTGTAAAACTGGAGCTATATGAGAGATAGGGCAGAGGTAGAACCAAACTAGACTCAGAGAATGTCTTTCCAGTATGGAGGGTGGTGGAGTCACTATTTCAATAGAAATTAAAACTGGTAAATGGTTCAGTTTAAAAAGACCCATGCAACTCTCCCTCATTCTTGTGCTGCAGTGAGCATCCTTACAAATCAGATTTGCATTTTATTATTGGGCTGCTCCAGTGGAATCCTACAGTAGACACAAATGTGAGCAGACAGAAAAGGCTGTGTGGTACAATGAGGAAGATGGGATTCTTGTGGACACTCTCAGCTGCAGTTCTGATGGAGCGCTGACACAGAGACAGTGTTCACTGTTATGTAAGGCCCATGTGACTGCAGCGGACACACAGCAGCAGCTACTGTCCTCCAGCACTTAGCACTCACCCATAATGCCACACTGCTTTGTCTTATCAGGTCACGACCCTGTTCATTGGGGTTTTAAGGTAGAAAATATGAAAAAATAAGTAGCCTCCATATAGTTCAAATTTTTGTTGATACACATTAAACTGCTTATGTACCACAGCTTGTTAAGCAGCTGTGGACTGTGTGGTCATGGGTTTTGGTTATGAGGGGAATTGCAAAGTGTAAATAATGCTTTTAAAATGGTGTGGAAAACATAGTGTACTGTAACCCATTGGTCAGCTGCTTTCCAGTGCCATGTCCCATTTTAGATTTACCAACAAACTTCAGTCAGTCACACAAAAGAAAATAAGAAAGTGGTCATTAATATAAAAACACACATACTATTCCTATTCATAACATACAGTATTTTACACTATCAAGACATAGATTCTTTAAATTAAATCTCCCTTGGTTCCTCAAACGCTGCATCAGTAAGGAGACAAAAATGGTATAGCTCCAGGCATTTCACCTGTGTAGTGAGAGGGAAGGGGTAATGTTACATAATGTATCTTTTTGTTTAGTTTAATCATTTGTACCCCCTTCTGCCTAACCCCTTTTCCGTTGTCTTCTATTGTCATCCACTCAGTCTCTAAACAAATGGTACTGGAGACTTGTACCTGTAAGTCCATTCATTCTTTAGAAAGATTATTATGATCCTATCCAGACCCAATACAACCTCTTATTTTTGTTTGTGTTAATTGCATGTAGCCCTTATGCACATCCACCTGGTTAATCTCATTTCCCAAAGAGATTTCCCATCATTACTGACCATAATATATGAAAGCAGATGCCTTAAGATAGTTAGTGGTAATACGTTTTATTTAATTTTATTTATATAATGATTTTCTAAACAATCAAAAATGCTGCAGAATGAATACAGTTAAAAAGATTACATTTAAAAAACAAGATAATTCAAGTTTAGTGTACAGCCAGATCAGCACAGTTTTGAAGATTATGATTATACTCTGATATTAAAATATAACAACAGTACTTATGTGTGCAAGAGGTTAATGACTATTGAGGGTTGCTTTGAGAAAATGCTGTAAAATGTAAATGTAACCCTGCTCACGTGTGTATTGTATATATGCTTTAAGTAGAACTAATGCCATGAATGCCTGTAAAGAAACTGCTATTCTAGGCCTATGGCTCAATGGTAGACATGTTATAAGATGTTTAATATGTTTTTGCGATTTAGGTGTCTTTCTTGCATGGTTACCTTTTACTTGAGCCTGACTCCTACTTTACGCTTGACTGAGAACCTCAAATTAACAATTTCATTCACCTGCTTCTGGGGGTATGATTGATTGTACTGCATGAACGCCAGCGTCACATGCAAGCGTCGACACAGAGGTGATGTCTTTCTGTCGTTGCCATGGTTTCAGGCTCGCTACAGGAGAGAGCTTTCACAGCAGAGAAGTGTTCCAGTACTCCCCCTGGTGGACAACCTGCTGAAGGACAATACAGACGGCTGCACACTGACGGCCCTGCTGCATTTCTACTGTCCACAGGCTGTCAGACTGGAAGGTGGGCCCTGTCTGCAGCCACACCCACTATGTACTACCCACAAGGCTACAGTCTATTTATTCCCTTAGAAATGACACATAATGGGGAAAACACTGAGTCGTTTTCATGTTTGGTTTGATGTTACAATGATGGCTTTTCTCTCCACAGGCTAAGCTTAAAGGAAGCATTTCTTCACAGTATGGACATGTTTTGCTGACTGTAGACTTTATATTATTAATACATTTCTATGGCATTAAGTCACACTTAGAAAAAGTTATGACATGTTATTATAAGTTGTGTTGAAATTTTAAGTCTGTAATGCCCAAACTAAAAACATACAAGTGAAAACATAGACCTTGTAATACCAAAGGATTATTGAAAGATTACTCGAAACAAGAAGTAACTAAGTCTCCTCTCTGAGTTTCCTCTCTCCCTCTCCTCTGCGGCCGTTGCTCTAAAAATGCCTTGGGTTGGGCTGTGATTGGTCATGAGGAGGTTGTGACGGCGATGCTATTTCAAACATAAACAACATTCACTGGTGTGCACTGGCTTATGGGATTGATTGTAGTTCAGATGAGCTCACACATATGTTTGCCAGATGTGAAATTCCGGTTTAGTCTGTGACCAATATTAGGTTTGAACAAAAGTAAAGGAAAAGTAATCCAGGTTAATATACAATGACACAATGACAAGAACATTTGACATCTGTGGTGTGTGTCAACATATATTCGGACCACAAATTATGGTGCATTTTTAAGATCCTGTACCCATTTTTGTGTTTTCTAACAATGACAGAGGACGTTATAGTTTAAACTGGAATTCTAACTGGAATTTTTAATCTTTTCTAAATCATTCCTCAGATCCAAATATCCTATGTGCATTAATTATATAATAGTGTGCAAGCATCAAAGTAGAGTTTGGCATGACAGAAGGTTCAACAACTCCTATTGCAACATGTGAAATATTGATAATAATATTAAGACAGTGCACATATGTAAAATTTTTTACACAATATGATATATGTATGACTTTCAGTCTATTATGAGAAAAATCAGTATGTATTGTAAAATGCGATGATGTCATACTTCCAGATGGGGGGGCAAGTTTTTCCAATTGATTACATTGTACTTTGCCATGAAATATTGGAAAGGTATATTCCCAAGTATAAAACAAGTTTATTTACATTACTGATTAGACCCAAGACCATACTATATTGCAACAAAAATCTGCAGTTGAATAATATAAATTTTAGCTGCCCCCATCTGTATTAAATACTATTGGCCTATAGAATATCATGATGACATCCAAAACCCAGCAATAAGGCCTGAAACTTTAAAATTCTGAACTGTTATCTTTTGTCTCCCTGTTTTTGTGTGTAATCTCTCCCTTGTGTATGTGTGTGTGCGTTTGTGCGTATGTGTGTGACCCCTCCCTCCCTGCTCACACAGATATCTGCCTCAAAGAAACCATGTCTTTGGCCGACAGTCTGTATAACCTACAGCTAGTCCAGGACTTCTGCACCAACAATCTGAACCACTGCTGCCACTTCAGCCTGGAGGACATGCTCTACGCTCATGCCTCCATAAAGGTAGGAAAAACTTGTTCTAAAGAGAATTACAGACTGGCAAAAATTAGTCATGCAGGGAAAAGTTAGCAGCTGCTGACTAATAGTGGCTCTTTTTGTCTTTTTGTGTGCATGTATTAACTACACTACAAAAATGACGTACTTAAAATTATTTGAATTAATAATAATCATCTGGATTTTAGTAGCTGTGACTAGGACAGATTTAGTTGGATTTTTAACATAAAGTATTTCACTGGTTTTGAGACATTTCTAGTCTATTTAGCTATTGATTTGCCAATCTGGTGAGTAAAATGTTATTTCAAATGACTTGTCTTAGAAGTAATGCAATGTATTGCTACAGACCACAATAACCTTGAAACAAATAATCCATCAAAAAGTATTGTGCTTAATTAAAATGATTGTCCTCAAATCAACTAATTTAAACTTGTCTATAGATTCATTAAAACTTAGTCTCTATGCAGTACACTAACACTTAATACAGCAGTCACAGTGTTAGTCTATCTCTATGTAACAGCTGACCAGTGTGTGGGTAAACAGAATGCACCATAGCGTGGGTCAAAACATTCAGATTCAAGTCACAGTCTGTATGAGCCTGGGACTTTCCTTCCTCCAAAACAAGAGGCTCCGTTCAGTGAATAGTCTGTGCTGTGCATAATGGGTCTGCAGTGAATAGTTAAAAAGTGGTTTAGTTTCACAAAAAGAAAGTAAATAGCACTGAATCAGCTGACCCTGGCATAGAATCTAACCCCTGTCATTGTTTCCAACTTTCCATGCAGTTATTATAAACCAAAGAACTAATGTGAAGTTTTCCTCCACTTCAGAGACCATTTACGTTTGTAAAGTGTTGTATTTTTAAGGTTTGTAAGGTAAATGTCATTTAACCATTGCCTCTACCAAGCTTTGATAAATTAAGGATGGGTATCAGGAAGCACACTGTAAAACAACTACCTTATGCACACTAAAACGCAAACTGAAACAGATTAAGATAAAGATCAAGTTGAAATAGAGGAAAACATGTAAATAAATAGTACTGAATTTAAATTAATTGCTTGTGACTCCGTTTATTTTATGAATATACAGATCTTTCACTGTTTAGATCAACCTTTAAACAGAACGTATAATAATGTAAATTTCAGATGGAGGTCTTGGATCTAAATGGTCTAATCCATGATATATGGCAGATGATGATGAAACATGTTTTGTCCCTCTGAGCCAGTTCCCTAGCAACAGTTGGCTGGATGTAACCTCACTGACATGCCAAATATGGCATGGTGTATAATTCAGTGATTACAGTGTGACATTTTGATCATTATAGAGATAGTACAGTACTTATGATCAAGTTGTAATGTTTAATACATAGTCAAACTTTTTTTTTTTTATAGAGTAACTACCTGGTGTTTATGGCTGAGCTCTTCTGGTGGTTTGAAGTGGTGAAACCCTCATTTGTACAGCCAAGAGTCTTTGACCCAAATGGTACAGTGACATATTTAACACTAAGCTTAATTTTATTAATTTGTATGTATTATAAATGTTGCACCTACATAAATTGCTTGGTCATAGTGCTATATTTGTTTTTGCTCTAGCCTGTGAAGTATCCTGTAGAAATATGGCTCCTGTGACCAGTCCGGTTAAACAGAGCTATGCAGAAACTGACGTCCCAGCTGAGGGTAAGTAACACAACCGCACAGTGTTTTAACAAACCATAACTTGGATCAGATGAGTCAGCACAGGCAGTATCATAAATTTGTCTCACTAGTTGATGCTCAATACAGTATAATGCAGAATCATCAAAAATAGTAATGGGAATGCTTCTGTTTTGATGGAACATGCTCTAGTACTGCCTGGGAAAAAAGCAACGACTGTAGGTTTAGTGTGTCTTACAATCTTTCTTTGTCATAACAATGGCATTTAACCTAAAGATGATGTAATTATTATTTTTTTTTTATAACTTTTTGCAGGTGTAATGAAGAGATCTACCTCCTTGTCTTTTGAAGATGGCGGTGTTGGGACTTGGCCCAAAGAAAAACGGTGTGTACCCGCATCATACTCTTTTCTTGTACATATGTTATAATATTTTTTTTTTGTTAAACTAAAGTCATTACCCTCTTCCAAACCCAGGTCCACCTCCCGGGGAATATCCTTTGAGATCCCCCTTGATGGGGGTCCCACTGTTCCTCTCTGTGAGCTCCCCTCCTTTCATATGACTCGCTCAGTCAGCAGTGATGTCCTCGCATTCAAAATTCACTATGCATCCCAAGGAAACATGAAGAGCCACCCCTCCATGGTGCCTATAACTGTAAATGGGCAGAGCGGACATATAGAAGAGGAGGAAGACTTCACCCCCCATAAACCAGTTGGGCGAAACAACACATTCTCCATCAAAAACCAAAGCAGGTTATAAGAAATTAAAAATTAATCTTTTTTCGACTTTAACTTTGAAGAACCATCTGAAATAAGTAATAAAAAGTAAATAATAAATTATCTTTCTCTGTTGATAGGTACTCAAATGGAGTTCTACCAGAAAGTACCTCTGCCAATCACTATAGCAACCACACCGGTCATATTAGTCCTACCACCCCTCCGAGCATTGAGGAGGCTCTAAAGATAATCCATGACACAGAAAGGCCTCATGCTAGTTTGGGAATTGGGGATGGGTTCTATCTCCATGGGGCAGAGCCCTCAGATTCACCAGGAGCTCAGGGCGTTGCCCCACACTCAGCCAAAGCCATGCTCCAGGAGCATGACTCCGCCTCTGAAGAGGTGGACACTGGTATCCACGTGAGGACTGAGGACATCCAGAGCCTGGACGAGGACTCTTCTCTCAGAGACTATTCAGACATTGACCAAGACTGCGACGCAATGACTAGGTTCTGCCCGCTGCCCGAGAGGGACCGAGGCTCTAGAGACGCTGGGCGGAGGGGAGTTTTTGACTCTGATGTTGACAGTGAGAGAGGACATGGAGCTGACAGAAGCAGCCCATGTCCAGCACACAGCCTGCCTAGGTCCCACACAATATGCTCCACATCCTCCTCTGGCTCGGCAGGAGCCATGACCCGCATGACCAGCTTTGCAGAGCAAAAGTTCAGAAAGTTAGAGGGAAGGAGTAGCGGAGGAACCACACCCGAGAGTTCAGACCTTAATGTTCCTTGTGTACGTCCAGTAAAAACTCAGACTTCTCAGGTTTGTCTTTTTCAGTAAAGTTCTATATTTTTATTTAACCATTTAAATACTATTTGTTTGTTAATTTATTTATCTATTTATGTATTTATTTACTTACTTGTAGATTTCTACTCCTCCCCTGCCAATCACATCTCCATCTCCTGTAACGCCAACTCCCAGAGACCCTTCTCACTTGATTGCCTCAGAAATGATCCAACTCAGGATGAAGTTGGAAGAGAAACGTAGAGCCATTGAGGCCCAGAAAAAGAAGGTAGTGGACATTTACATTTTTATGGACTAAATGATTAACACACATTCACAAACACTAATTTTGTCATGACTTCTTAAGGTGGAAGCTGCTTTTACACGCCATCGTCAGAGAATGGGCAGAACAGCGTTTCTGAATGTTGTTCGACGGAAAGGAGTCAATCCCAGCCCTGGAGAAACAGAAAACCCCTCACCCCAATCATTACCCTCTCCAAAACTAGCAGACCCAAGCTACATTGAACGAGCAGAGAGGTGCAAACCTGATGGAGCAGCTCCAAAATCTCCCTGTGAAGATGGAGGGGGTGAGTAACTGCATGATACAAAAACATTTTAAAAAATAATAATTTCCTTGGATTCTGATGAACGCTAAATTTATTTATTTTTTTTACAGGTATTGCTCCTGGAGAGGTTGACTTGTCTGAGTACACCCGCTCCATTGAGAGGTTGAACTCTTCACTTGGTTTTCTGCAAACAGAGATGCAGCGTTTGGCTCAACAGCAGGAAAAGATCATGGCCATGAGAGAACAGCAACAGCAGGCCTGGGTCATACCTCCTCCAGCCCCATCTCCACACAGGTCTGTACCATAATGAGCATCTGTGACATAATCAGATACTTTTGACCTTTAAAATGGTAAAATCCATAATGTAAAATGTTATGTTGTAATAAAAATAAACATTGTTGCTAACTGCATTATCTAGTGTAGCTAACAAACTGCCCTTGTGGTGTTTGCTTCCACAGACAGCTGCGTGAGTTGCGCAGCAGCAGTGTCACAGGCCGAGGTTCAGGCCGTGGTTCAGTGGGGTCTTTGTCTCCAAACCTGTCCTCCTCTGGCTCTCCTCAAGCTCCCACCCGCTCCTCCTCTGGACTCAAGCGCAGACCGGCCTCCTTCCACGCCAGGACACCTCGGACCCCTCGTCCCAATGAGTTAAAGGTCACACCTTTCAGTCGAATGTTGAACACGCCCACTTCAGTGGACAGCCTGCCCAGGCTCAGGCGCTTTACCCCACAACAGTCCCAGCTCAGTTCCTTTGCCTACTTCGGTCATGACGAAAAAACAGATGAAATGAAAAACTGTGATGGTAAAGATGATAAAGAAACTGCCAAAGAGGAGACTGTAGAAAAGAGTGCAGGCGCTCAAGAAGCAGCTCCACAGCTTCAGACACAGGACCACAGCAAAGACACAGGACCACAGCAAAGACAGAATTTGTCTAAAAAGGAGATCACACAAACTAAACCAGCAGAGGTGCTGCATCAGCCCCTGTCAGAGGTCCAAGAGGGGGCAAAGTTTGAATGTCGACCAGACCGAAGTGACCTGGTGGAAGCTGCTTTATCTGAACTCAAACTTGGGGATGAAGAGGGAGAGACAGGGGAAGAGATTTGTGGAACTGAGCAAAAAATGTGCTGTGGATTCTTCTTCAAGGTACACCACAAACTGGCAATACAAAATGTGCTTATTACTACTTAGGAGTTTGAAATACTGTTTTTACTGTTGCATACATTAAATGGAAATACATGCGTGGACATTCATTTACGGTTGTATAAATGCTGTGAGGATGAATGCAGGCTTGAAAGGGATGCCACTCTGACATAACATTTGCTGTGCCTCTTCAACCATGAGATTATCAAAAACAATACAATGTGAATCTAGGCTAACTACGCACCATGAACACAGACCAAACAGTTTAGGGATAAAAGACTTTTGTATTTTGTCAGTAATCCAGTGAGAAAGAACTAGACTGCACTGGATATGAGAATTTGTATTTTTAACAATATTGCTTTTGCTCCCCAAAACCTAGGATGATGTGAAAGGAGAAGAGGATATGGCAGCAAAGAAAGCAGCTCTACTGGAGAAGAGGTTGAGGAGAGAGAAAGAAGCTCAGGAGAGAAAACAGCAACAAGAGCTGGATCAGGAGCAGAAGAAAGAAGCTGCACGGTTGGTTTAAGTTTGTTTTAAATAATTAGAACTTGTGTATAAATGGATACAGTAAATGGCATAATGAAATAATATTCTTTTCTGAAATATAAAGTAAACTGCCAACTCTGTTTTTCAGGTTAAAAGCAGAGGAAGAGCAGCAAAAAAAAGAAGAGGAAAAGGCCCGACGTGAATATATAAAATGTGAGTTTTTGAGACGGAAGCAGTTGAAACTCATGGAGGACATGGATGACGTGGTCAAACCTCGATCTGGAAGTCTTAAAAAGAAACCTAGGCCAAAGTCCATTCACAGAGATGTCTTAGAGTCCTCCACACCAGCCAGAGCCACAGGTCAGCCACATACACAAGACATTCAGACATTCACAATACAAAAACAAGTATAGCAGGAATATGGTGTCATTGTGGCTGTGTTGTCAGGAGTGCGTCCACGGGGATACTCTGTGTCCAGTGTATCTTTGGCTTCTCTCAACTTGGCAGACAACGATAATCAGCTTGATAACAAGAAGAACAACAGGTGAGGCTCACCTATTTTTTCAGGATCTGCAAGCTTGTGTTTTTATATTCCTAACATTGTATATTTGTACTCCTTACTGAATCAGAATTATTATTATGATCTATTAACTCACACATATATGTAAGCTGTAATTGTCTTCCTAATTTAATGTTCTGTCAACCTTATATCCTTCAGTTACTCTGTATGAAGCACAGTCCTGACACTTTGTTTAACCCCTTTTCTTATTTTCATGCTCCCATCAGGGGCAATAAAATTGCTACTGCTCATGTTCCCTTCTATCTGAGTTTTCCCAAAGAAAAAAAGGGAAGGTCAGTAATGTTTCGTAGAAATGAGGTCTAGGTTTAGACATTGTAGTTAACCTCAGTGTACATTAAATAACATTTCATAAATTAAAATTGTTTTTTCCCACATTTGACCTTTTCTGTGTCCTTTTGTTTGGCCTGGCCTTAAGCTAGCTGTGTTCTGCTTTACTACTGCGCTTTGTTTTAAATCTGCTCATATATTGCGTTGCTCGGCTGAACGTGCTTTTGCTTCTCCTCATGTTTTATGTTAAAGCAACTGTGCCTCATTATGACTAACTATTCCATTAATTGTTTTATTTTGATTTTATTCTTCATTGTTGTGTTTGTGTCTTACAACAGGCCAGATTCTGCTGGAGGTTTTTCTTCTTGTCCTTCAGCTGGCAGTCGAAATGAGAAGGACTGGGAAGTGGACTCCACCACCTCCTCTACTCCTTCCAATACTGAGTATACAGGTAACTACAACCACAGTATTTTGGATTGTAGCAGATCATAGTTTATGTATTTCTTTCTTTCATACTTATATTTTGATCTTGTAGGGCCCAAACTGTACAAGGAGCCCAGTGCCAAATCCAACAAACATATCATTCAGAATGCTCTGTCTCATTGCTGCTTGGCTGGCAAAGTCAACGAAGGGCAGAAAAATAAAATACTTGATGTAAGTTTGTATTCAAATTAATACTCTTTATTTAAATTATCAATATGGAAAACATGTTTGACTTCATATTGTGTCCTCAGGAAATGGAAAGGTCTGGAGCTAACAACTTTCTGGTCTTATTCCGAGATGCTGGATGTCAGTTCAGGTCTGTCTATACTTACTGCCCGGACTCCGAGGAGATAATCAAACTGGCAGGAATAGGACCAAAAAGCATCACAGCAAAGATGATCGAGAATATTTACAAATACAACTCTGACCGAAAACAGTTCAGCCAGATCCCAGCCAAAACCATGTCAGCGAGTGTTGATGCAGTCACTATTGCAGGACATCTGTGGCAAACCAAGAAACAAGGGACGCCTAAAAAACTTCATCCCAAGTAAATGACAAGATTGGCTAGATTTTCCTTAAGCATTTTGGACCCAGATTGAATCACAACAACTGGAAATGAAAACAGCATTATTTAAAGGGGGCACAGTCTTGTGTTTGCCAGCATGTGTATGAACTTTAATGTGCCAAAAAAGAACAAAATACTAAGCGGACAAATGCCTTAGTTGAACCACTGAAGCACTGAATGTCAAGTCTCTGCAAGAGGCTCTTTGATTTCTAGTCCATTGTGTGGCCTTATGCTTGTTTTGTGTCATTGGCGCACATTACAACAAGTGTTTTGTCAGCACCTGTTAAAATACCGGTAATCTGTTATTTTTTGATGCACGAGAGACTGTCTGCATACGGGTCAGAGGTCAAATCATGGTCTTCTGTGTTCAAGTCTTTAAAGATGGCTTGTCCCATCAGAAATTTGAAAGATGCAGCGTTTGATTGAGGACATTTGCTGCTAGACCGGCATGTTGTTGTTTTTTTTTACTGTTGTAAATGGTTTGATTTTGTGTATGTGTGTAGAGTGAAGTGCCAAGTTGTGGAGGTGATCTTTGTTACCCTCCAGAAGTATGACGTGTGATAAAATGTGCCATCAGATCATAGGATGCACCTGCAATACTCTAATTTATTGAATTAGATCATGCTGACATATATGGTAACTTTGATTTAAAATATGTCATGCTACTTTGTATATAATGAAATGAACAGCTTTCTGTAGCTTTGGAGTAGCTTTTTATTTATCTTGTATCAGTAGCCTATGTTGTATGTCTGTTATGTGGCCTTTTATTGCGCTAAAGATGCAAAAATGCAGTTGTTTTTTTTTTACTAATGAGACTATCATCTGATGTGTCTTGTACAGAACTCTCACTGTGTCTGTGCAATTTTACAATGTCCTGTTAAACATGTCTCTGTTACAAGTTACAATAATGTCTTAATTAATACAATAGTCTTAACAATTAAATCTTGGTTTTGTTCACACATGTAAATACACAAATGATAGCACTTAAATTATGTGTAACCAGGCCATCTAATCTCTTTGTTATCACTTATTTGCATAACTGTTACATTTTTCATCTGTTGACTCTGTACAGATATATTTTGGCATATACAAATATTTTTGGTATTGACATTTATCTGATGTGTGAGGTATTGAAGCGGTTAAATAGCCGTGAATTAACAAAATGTGTTAAACGCTTGTAGGGTGGATAAAAAAAGTATAGAAATCAAATCTACAGATCATGGATATGCAAAAATCTTCCTTTTCCCAACTTGGAATTTCCTTTCATTATGCTCAATTGCTCATGGAACTTGTTTTAGTATGTTGAAGCTTTATTAAAATACCTGCTATTAAAACTTGGTGTCTTCATCATTTATGTACGTGTGTATATGTGTTTGTGTGCTTATTTATTCATTATAAATAGCCTATTATTATGTAATGCATGTGGCTGAGTCTGTAAAGTACAAATACTTTAAAGACACTGGATCGTGCTGTGCTGTTGTGAGGAGTGCGTGTCGGCTGAAGGAGGCAGTGCTGGACAAGCCCAGGCTGTGAGTGACTGAAGTGACTGGGCAGGGCAGAGCTGCAGAGCGCCCGCCGCAGAAACATCCCGCTGGAGACAGAGCCGGAGACGTATTCTGCCGTGACAGCGCCTGTCAGCAGCACGGCTACTGTCGGGGAGCAGCGATATTACCTCATGTACATATGTTAACAGGTGAGCTTTGTTTCATTATTCTAAAGGTAAAGACAGATTGTGTTGTTGCGTGCTGCGAACACTGTATGCGCCCCGCCCGCGTACTAACCAAAGGATGATGCCTCACTCTCTTTGGCCTGATTAGCTAGAATGAAATTAGCCTGCTATGTAGCATTGCTTTACATGGTCCGTCTCTTATCCATCTAACTAGACTGTAGTTTTTAATCCAACTACTTTTGTGAGCTAAATAAACTGGTTAATCCTCTCAGACACTGACTTGTGGCTGGAAGCCAGTGTTGCTAACATGTTAGCAGCTCTGCAGAGATGCGTTTGGTTTGATGTTATTATAGAAGTATGAGCTTGTTACGCCAATCTCACAGTTTTAAAGGCACATTTTATAATATTTATAGTGACCGGTGTATGTAGTGTCTCAGATGCTGTCATGTTTTTTTATGCCTGTATCTTTACCAGCCCAAACAGGAATGTTGTGATCATGTGTGCAGCACTGCTTTAGTCAGCAATTCTAGCATCTCTCTTGTTGAATCTGTCCATAGAGTGGTCGTTGGTTGTTGTCAGACCGTGTACACCATGACAGCAGAAGAAACCATCAATGTGAAGGAGGTGGAGATCATTAAGGTGATCCTGGACTTCTTAAACTCCAGGAAGTTGCACATCAGCATGTTGGCTCTGGAGAAGGAGAGTGGAGTCATCAATGGACTCTACTCTGACGACATGCTCTTTCTCAGGTATAACCATAGTCTATGGGTATAACACATCCACACCAAATTCTACAATTAAATTATTATACTAATGGAAAAATACAAACTCTGATCATTTAATTTGCTAGCTAATAAATTCACCATATTTGGACATTTATAGTGTAATATTTTAATGTAAGCTCGTTGTGACCTCTTAACCTCCAATAGAATTTATGGTGTATGTTTTAAAGGCAGTTAGTGCTTGATGGACAGTGGGATGAGGTCTTGCAGTTCATCCAGCCTTTGGAATGCATGGACAAGTTTGACAGAAAAAGGTCTGTTGGTTATTGTGTAAATTGATCATTTTTGCAGATATAAATTATTTATTATTATTATATTTTGTCCTGCTCCCCAGGTTCCGCTACATTGTTCTAAAGCAGAAGTTTCTGGAGGCTCTTTGTGTAAATAATGCTATGTCTGCAGAGGATGAACCACAAAATGTAAGGTTTTTATTCATTAGAAGGCATTCTGAATCTGTTTAAATCAGATAATAGGCTGCACTGAACACATAAAAGTTGCTCATCCATTGCTCATCCTTTTAGTCCAGCTTCTAACATATTGTCACTTGGCTGTGCTAAAACTGTCATGTTCTGTTAACAAGATCAGGTCAGATTTCTCTGGACATCTGTGAAGATGGCGTGCAGGGCAATAAGCTCTGCAGTAAAACTATTGTTTGATGGGGAGATAGAGTAGTAGCTATAACTTAGGTTTAGATTATTTTTTATTTTTTGTATTTTATTTTCCAGCTTGAGTTCACCATGCAGGAAGCTGTAAAATGTCTTCATGCCCTTGAGGAGTTCTGTCCCTCTAAAGAAGACTACAGTAAACTGTGTCTGCTGCTCACACTGCCCCGACTGACGAATCATGCTGAGTTTAAGGCAAGACAAGACTCTTCTATGAATGAACATGTACTGTCAATGTCACTTTTCACTTTAGCCTAATTTCATTTTGTCTCTTTACAATTTCCCAGGACTGGAATCCCAGCACAGCTAGAGTTCAGTGTTTTGAAGAGGCCTGCATGATGGTGGCAGAGTTCATCCCTGCAGACAGGAAGTTAAGTGAAGCTGGGTTCAAAGCCAGTGGAGATAGACTTTTCCAGCTGCTTTTGAAGGGAGTCCTCTATGAGTGCTGTGTGGAATTTTGCCAGGTTAAAATAAAACTGCTTTGCCAATGCATTATCTAAGTTTATGGTTGATATTTAGTGTTTATTGTTCTAAATTTCATAAAATGCCTGTGCAGAGTAAGGCAACTGGCGAGGAGATCACAGAGAGCGAGGTGCTGCTGGGAGTGGACATGCTGTGTGGTAATGGCTGTGATGACCTGGACCTGTCTCTTCTGTCCTGGATGCAGAATTTGTCTCACAATGTGTTCACCTGCGCCTTTGAACAGAAACAGCTCAATATCCATGTGGACCGCTTAGTGAAACCTGTGAAAACTGGCTATGCTGACCTCCTTACCCCTCTTATCAGCAAACTGTCTCCCTACCCCTCCTCTCCGCTGCGGCGCCCCCAGTCTGCAGACACATACATGTCCCGCTCTCTGAACCCGGCTCTGGACGGTCTGTCTTTTGGGCTCTTGGGACAGGACAAGAGGGCAGGAGGGGGGGAGACAGGAGTGGGGAAAGGAGTGTCTCCCATGTCTCACTCATTTGCCAACTTCCACTATCCTGGAGCAGGTGGGCAAAGCTTGAGCCGCAGTCTCATGATGGAAACCTCCGAGTGTCACAGTATATTTGAGGAATCCCCTGAAACGTAAGTGCCTGGAACTCTTTTTAAAACAGTGAATTTTATATAAGTTATATCAATCATGGACCAGGTTAAGCCAGTCGTTTGTATATCTGCTCAGTATTTTACAAGACACTTATACACTGTCCATTCATGTACTCAATTTGGAAAACACTCATACACATGTGCAGAGGATCTTTTTTAGAAGAAGATAACAGCACTAGTACCTTTTGTTATATTACTAATTAGTAGTTAGTAGTTATAATAATTGGTTGCATAAAATTAAACTAAAGTTTTTTTTAAGAAGTTTTCTAGATAAAATACCCTTAAACTGTTGTTGTCTGAAAGGTCGAGGACAGAAACTCCCGTGGATAAGATGCTGAGCTCTAGCAGCACACCGACCACACGCCCGGCCTCAGCTCCTGGAGAGGAGGCTCCATCACCGGGCTCTGTAGACAGAAACGAGGTACACCACTCCTCCACTCAGCTTGTTCAATCAGTTACCCATCATTATCTACATTTATTTCATGCCATTTTTATGGCTTGTATTAGTCTAGGCAGTAGGCACAACCTTTAGTGTGGCTAGAACTCATGCTTCACAGTAAGAATCAACCACCTCTGCCTCTCTTTGCTTGTTCTGCTCATGTCCCTGATGGATATTTCCTCTTGTTCTTCATATCTCCCAATTTCTTCCTCACTCTATTTGAACTTCCTTTAACGCAATCCATCAGTACCCTTTCATCACAAATATAAAGTTTATTTTTGGTTTATGCCTTGTTCATGTGTCATCATCTTGTCAGGAGTGAGTGTCTGGGGATGGTTGGTGTTACTTGACTCTTAGGTAGTGTGAGCTGTTTATTCTGTGGCCTGTGTTTTGTTTTACACAGACAGCAACATGGGGAATTACTCCTGGTGGGACTTAATAAGTAGCTTCATGCTGCCAACATGAGTCATTATTATTATTACTCTTGATTTGTCTGTAAACATGGCACTGAGATACATTTTCCTATCAGTCTCATTCATTCTATTCTGAGCTTAGTGTGCAGCTCAGTTTGAGTTTAGTGCTTTGCTTTGCCCTCCTCTTCCCGTTTCCATAGAGACACAAATGAGACCCCAAATGAGAGCAGACTTTGGGGCCATTGTGATCTCACTTGTTGTCTCCCCTGTTGTTCCTCTCACCCATTTACTGGTCCAAAACTGTCAGGACGCCTCTCTCTCTTCCTCCACACTATTCTTGGATGCATTCCCAGATTGGATTCTTTAAACAGGAAGTTAAAGACAGAGAGGGGAAGTGACTAGTCTAGTAGTTGGCTACTTTATCATTGCTATACACTTGTTTTATGTGTTGTTGTATTTGTGTATGGCTTATTTTAGGAACGCTATCTCTGGGAATGTTAAAACTCACTGGAACTTAAATTTATGAAACACACCAATGCAAAATGATAATATAATATTAACCAGTTGAATTAGTTGGTAAATACTTGTGAAAAAGTCAAATAAAATTGATAATAAAAACAACTGAGTAGAAAAAAAACATTGGGTAGCTGATGAAATCACCAAAAGTGAGCACTGCAGTGTGGCTCAAGAATAGGAAGGGATACTATTTACTTGACTGTTGTAAGGTTGTATCCCAGTGGTTCTTTAGTAGTTACTAAGCCTGAATCATTTTCAGTAAAGAATTTGTTCATTATGACTTAAGTACTTGTGGAATTATTAAGTGTTACCTATAATTTCACATTATTTTCTCTCAGCTCCGGGACTCCACAGAGAAGTATGAGGAGTTCTACAGACAGCGTCTCCGTGTGCAGCAGCACCTGGAGCAGAAGCAGCAGCAGAGACAAATGTACCAGCAGATGCTCCTGGAGGGAGGGGTGCAGCAGGACCCCCCACCCACTGACATGCAGCACAGTCTCACTGAGAAGTTTCTAAACAGGTAAGGGCACTGAAAGACATGCATTTTTTTCATTAAATTTATTGCATATTATAATAAACAAATAATTCTAAACATACATACAAGAAAACAGAAAAGACAGATTTACACAAAGATTACAAGACATAGAGGTAGTTAAATGATTCATATTGATCATTTAAGTTCTTTATAAATTGATAACATTATTTAACTTGTTTATCTGGAAGGTTTTCAAATGATTTAAAATTTTAGCTTGCATTTAAATTGAAAGATATTAGGACTGGTATTATTCCACTTTCAATTAACAAAATATTTTCTGTATAAAATGAGAAATGATATATATGTTTTTTTAATCAATATTGTTATCATAAAACAATTCCCACACCACACAAAGATTTTTTAAAGTATTCAAATTCACTCCAAAATAAACGTATTTATATACATTCATAAAAAAGATGTTTAACTGCATTGCTGACAATTGATACTTGCAGTGACTTCATGCTGGGTGTTTGGGAATTAAGAGATCAGATTAAAGTCTAATAAAGCCTCAGACAGAGCAGAGCCTACAGTTAGCAATACGCCCCAATGAATGTTGATGACATCAGCTGCAAAGTTTTAATAGATAGAAAAATAGAACACAATCACAGCATTTGTTTTGCAATTTTGTTTCAGTTAGCAATAAGAGCAACACTAGCAAATGTTTCTCGAGCTAAGTTTGCTAAATATTGTCTTTGTTGTGGTTAAGTAGAGAGGGATAGGAGGCATAGGTGCATGACAAGAAATATACACAATGCAGTGTTAATGTATTCTTCGGCTAGTCCCAGGTGGTTTAGGACAAACCCTCACTGCACCATTTGGGATTTGGCCTCATCACATCGGACCACCCCCTCTATTTACAAGGTGTACAATGACATTATGCCAAATTTATGCCAAATACAATAAATGGATCTTTATTATTTTGCAAACCCTTTATGATAACACATTTAGTGAAAGAAATCGGTGACTTCATGCTTATTTTTACATATTATTTGTCTTTTGGCAGTCCTAAAATCATCCTATTTATTTTGTACACATTCGATTACATATGTAATTAACAGAATGATTATTTATTAACCTGAAGAGATATGATTGAGAGGTGTTTAAAAGAGATTAATACTACCAAATAACAACAAATTAATAATAATTATACTGTAATGAACCTTTTCTAACTTAAAACCTTAAAATTCAACATAAGTAATTGTGGTGCTTTCAGATCTATCCAAAAGCTGGAGGAGCTCAATGTGGGGATGGAGAATTTAGGGGAGGACGTGAAGTCTCTGACCCAACAGTATAATGTGAATGGAAACTCCCCTGGGTCTGAGAACAATAACAACCCCCCATCTGCGACCCCAGAGCCGGGCAGGGTTCAAGGAGGTGGGGTGATCAGCAGTACCCCACAGCACACAGTAGGGGGGCGCACAGTCCTGCCACCCTGTGAATCCCCTGTCATTACACAAAGGTCTGTGTTTCTTTCATTTATATGCCTTAAGTAACACTCACTTTACATTTGATATCTTATTTTGTTTTATGTGACAGTGGGCAGAAACTCAAAGGACAAGGTGACTCTCTCAGCTCCATGACCAGAAGTAAAGAGGTCAGATTGTCAGAATTCTAACAAACGACTACCATATTAAAATATACCTTTTCATTTAAAAAATGTCATCCATATTTTATTTTTAGGGTGACAAATCAAAAGCCCTCTTTGTACCAGTGCATACTTTAGAAGATTCTCAGGCTGTCCGTGCTGTCGCTTTTCACCCATCTGGAACACTGTATGCTGTCGGCTCCAACTCCAAAACTTTACGAGTGTGTGCTTACCCCGAAACTATTGACAAGAGGTATCATGGACTACTGATGCAATAAATTACACACTCAGTACTCAATTCATCAGTTAGTATTAGTATTATATTTTGCCTGTGGTAAATCTAAATAATTTTAAAGGTCTTATATTGCGTAAAATGTATTCATTTGCACTTTGAGCCATGTTAAAATGTTGTTGCCTGAAGTTACGTTTTGTTTCTTTCACACATGAGTAACCATTTCACCTTCTGATATCATGAAGCAGTAGTTTTCAAGTTAATAGCTATGTTTTACCCTTTGTCAAGTAGAAATAGTTAATTCCAGGGCTGAAATTGGTTAACATGCATGTAGTTTAAACCAGAGTGGAGCACTTTCTGGATTACCACTAAGAGGAATAGAATGTTTTCTGTTTGAGAAAAGAATTCAGCCTAAATATACAGGTTTTGTGTGTTAAACATGTGAATGAAACAATACACAACACCAGGTATGTTTGTGATGAGGAAACAACATTATAACACATCAGAAAATAATATGAGCCCTATAAACACCTTGTATTTTCAGCGGGTCCAGTCCAGTGAAAGCTCCAACTGTGCGCTTCAAACGAAACAAGCACCACAAAGGCTCCATCTACTGTGTTGCCTGGAGCCACTGTGGGCAGCTCCTGGCCACTGGTTCCAACGACAAATATGTCAAAGTGTTGCCCTTCAGTGCAGAAACGTGCAATGCCACAGGTCAGACACACTGTTTCTTACACATATTTACACTGCTCTTAGAGTGGACTCATTACATTGATGTTTATTTCTTTTTTTTTGTGATTAAGGCCCTGACCTGGAGTTCAGCATGCATGACGGCACTATCCGAGACTTGGCTTTTATGGAAGGCCCTGAAAGTGGAGGGACCATACTCATAAGTGCAGGAGCTGGAGACTGTAACATCTACACCACAGACTGTCAGAGAGGCCAAGGACTACACGCCCTCAGTGGACACACAGGTAAGGGCCTGTTCATGGTTTCTGTTTTGGTTTATCAACAGCTTCTAATACTAATCTGATTTAGGGCACATTTTGTCACTCTACACATGGGGAGGGTGGATGATTGCCTCTGGATCTCAGGACAAGACCGTACGATTCTGGGACATTAGGGTGCCCAGCTGTGTCCGTGTCGTGGGAACTGCTTTTCATGGATCAGGTATGGCTCAATTTTAATTCAATCTTAAAAGTGTGTGTGAATGTTGATTAATCTGCTTGTCTTTTATTGACCAAGGACTGTTTCACTTGTCTCCATGGAAATGTTATTGTTTTGTCTAGAATGTTCCACAGTATAGATTAGATTTATCACAAGAGAGACGAGCAGGTTACAGCACTACACTACAGTTCCATCTGTGGAGTGATGCTCCTATTCACAGAAGGATTTATTGTATTTTTGAGCAATAGAAAGACCCGTAATGAGTAAATACCAGCTGTATATGTTTAATGAAAATGATTTGGGGCTCTACATTAATTATGATCCAGTATCATTAGATCATTGAATACTTAACACTATTCTTTCTCACGCTACAGGGAGTCCTGTGGCATCAGTTGCAGTTGATCCGAGCGCTCGTCTCCTAGCAACAGGGCAGGAAGACAGCGCCTGCATGTTGTACGACATCAGAGGGGGGCGTATTGTGCAGGTGTACCGTCCGCACAGCAGTGATGTCCGGTCTGTGCGCTTCTCTCCTGGAGCTCACTACCTCCTCACTGGCTCCTACGACACTAAAGTTATGGTTGCCAACCTCCAAGGTATGAGTAATGTCCTACCAGTAACATAGCAACAAATTCAATCAGACTATATTTTGTTAACCTGATAAAATATTTGAATTTGTCTGTGAAGTAACTAAAACTAGGCTGGTGTAGGTCTAGTGGTTAGTATTAGCATTACAATAATTGAATAATGTAATGGTGTATCACTGGCTTATTTTATTTATTCATTTATTTTGTGTTTGTGTGTCTGTAGGTGATTTAACAAAGCCTTTGCCTCAGACTGTGGTGGGTGAGCATGGAGATAAAGTGATACAATGTCGATGGCACACTTCAGACCTGTCATTCCTCTCCTCCTCTGCGGACCGCACTGTCACACTCTGGACACACAGTCAGTAATATAACCCCCATGGAACATGGAACATGGGACAGAGGCAAATGGGAGATAGAAAGATGGGACATAGGAAGTATAAAGATGCTGATCTACTTTCTTTAACACACTGCTTTAGCCCATGCCAGGAGCTGTGCAGGTATAACAGGAACAGTAAGGAACCCCTGTGATTAACTAATAGCACACATTGCATGCTCTGCTTTAAGTTAATTTGGTTCAGAAAAGTTTAGTTTTTCATGTTACCTTAGTTTTACATGTGGCCATCTGATGCATGGACCTGAGGAATCCTGAGAAGGGCATAGCTTTTATTATGACTGGTGCCTTTATTTTATTGTCAAAATTAAATGTCAATTGTCAATTGTTTTATTTTTTCAGTAAATATTGATTCAAACAATGAATTTTGATCTGTAGTGTAATGCTGCTGTGTTTTAGAAACACATTTACATTTTGAATTTTTAAGCTGTCCCAGCCACCATTTCAAATTATGACGTTTTCATTGCAGCTTTAAACATTTCTATTTGCCTATACAGTCCTGTACTAAAATATAAATGGGTGTTGTGCTGAAGCTATTATATTGTCTTAACAGTGACTTGCTTGCGGTGAAAGACAGTTCATATGTAAGCATCAAAGGGAAAGCTTGTTTATTCGTGTTACTGTACTGCAGTATCTTCAGATGAACAGTAGATGGCATAGTAAAGATGACTTGAAGCACAGTTGTTTTAAGAGCCAGTATTTGAGTGTATTATTCTTTAACATCTGCACTTTTATATTTAGTTTTAAAATGGATTAATTTACTTATATGTATATTTATGTTTTTGTATAATATTGTAATGTAAAGGCCAACTAATACATAACAGCAAAGGTGTACTTATCTTGTGTTTGTGTACTGTAGATATGTTTTTGAACTGCCAGTGGCTTTTGTATTAAGTCATTTAATTTTCTTAAAGTAACTTAATTAATTTAAAGCTAAATAAAGTCTGATTGCCGGTACATTCAATAAATTGCCTTTTTACAGAAAGATTAACTTAGTATTTACTGTCATGGTTAAGAATACTAATCACTGAAATACATAAGGTTTCCTCAGACATTAATCTTTACATAGTACAAAAGAGTGTAATTTGAATGTACATACAATAATTCTTTTACCAGACGGATAAAATATCTTTTGAAAACAGTCACTTTTCAAACAACACAACCACACAAGTTCACACCAACACTTAGCTACATTAGAGTGCTTTAGCTCAGCTAGCATCTGAGGCTACTGTAAGTGTAACCACCAAAATGTGTTTGGGCGGCAGCAGACAGAATGATTTAAAAATGGACAATGTACAATATATACAAAGATACAAATAGGGCAAAATGAAAATTGGACCAAACTTAATTTCCCTGATATATTGTTGAATGTTAATACAAAACAAAATACTGTAAAACTGGTAATGCTGTCAGTGCTTTGTTTTGTCTTGAGGCCTTCCACCTCATGAAACTCATTCAGTTATTGCAGTCCATCGGTGCCCAGCTGTTCATGTAGTACTTTGAATTTAATTGGAGCTAGGTCTTGTAGTGTTGGTCGACAAAGGCAGGGTTACGCGCTGTTCATCCATACGTTTAGCTTGAGAGCGCATAATGAGACTGAAGAAGTCTTCATCTGGCACAGTTGGCCCACGAGCTTGAGGGGCAGGCAGGGCACAGCGCTGGTCATCCAAACGAGACCCCTGTATGAGAAACAACCGAGTGGTTGCTTTTAAAACTGATGACATTGACATTAACGAAAAGAAAGAAAGAAAGAAGCAGCTAATGGTACATACCTGGCACTTGACTAACATGTCAAAGAAGTCATCATCAGGTTCTGCGTTATCTGCATTGGCCATTAGGTGGCTAAGTACAGCCTGGCTGCCGTTTTGATTCAGCCTCAAACCTGGGAGACTTCCACCTGGAGCTGTAGACTCCTCCAAGCGCCGACCACGTGCAGAGGACACATTTACAGACTCGGACACTGCTACAATTTGGAATTAAGTTGTTAAAAGCATGCGAGTCTTTCTTTAATTAAACAACCATTAAATCTAACTTGTTATAATAAGAATTACATTTTCTCAGGGCTCTGGGTGGTGAGTCTTGGCTACTGTTCAGTGATAGCCTGCTGCCCTTATCCTGGATGGAGCAGCGCTGGTCATCCATGCGGTTGCTCTGAAAGCGACTGAGCAAATCAAAGAAACCCTCATCTCCCAATGTCTCTGGGCTTGAACGCTATGATGTACAAAGAAGGAATAAAAACACTAAATATGACCAAATACATGGTTACTTATGAACAAGGTGGTACGTACCTTCTGAGGTCCCTGCACATTAGTCTGACTCGTATCCAGTGTGTTGCTGGTGTCTTGGAGAACTTTACTAGAACCACCAGACTTGTACTTCTTCCCTCGCAGACGATTAACAAAGAACAACTTAGAGGAGCCCTTTGCCAAAGATGGCTTGGATGGTTTGGTCAGGATATCACTATTCCACTTCTGACCCTTGAGGAGATGAAAACATAATAAAGTTCTATAAAAAAATCACAATCTTATACACAATCAGATACATTAAATACTGTCTTTACATTTGATTTATCAGGGGTGAGAGGCATCAGCTCCAGATTCTCCATGCTGTGTCTTCTGCTCGGTCTGGGTCTGGCTCCTATAATAACATATAATCGATTATTAACTGAGCTACTAAAAAAAAAGCGATAACGCCGTTGATGATTTTACCGTGTGCATTGTTGTCTGCATCTTTGTTGTTTGAGAGAGTTGAGTTATTTGTGCTGTAGCTGAGACCTAGCACCATTTGAAGATCAGACACGTTCATACGAGCGGTCAGTTCCCCGCTTCTGTCCCCTGTCTGGAGGGGTATAAATTAATAATAATTTAATAATACATTTGTCAATATTTTAAATCTTTAAAGGTGCACTGTGTAACATTTCTAGGGGAGGGTACACCACCTGCTTGTCTCTATGGAAAAGTTATTGCTTTGTCTAGAATGTCCCAGTTTAGATTAAACATATCTATCACGAGGGAGACCAGCAAGTTATCGCATTACACTACATTACAATTCAGATCTGTGGAGAGTCACCCCCATTCACAGCAGAAATTATTGTATTTTTGAAAGATAGAAACACCCATAATGAATACAGGTAGCAGACTATCCACCAGAGAAGTTGCACAGTGCTCCTTTAAAAGACATAAATCACACAGCATTGCTCTTACATACCTCTCTACAGATCTCCAGATGTTTCTCTGCAAAGTGCACAGCCTGGTCATGGTTTCCCAGAGCAGTGTGAGCATTTCCTAAGCTCCAGCACGCACGGCCCTCTCCAATCCTTCAACAGCACAAAACAAACGCCGACAAACAACAATTATAAACCTTCTTACTTTAATAGAGATGTTAAGTAACAATTTCAGGCTTATGCAATATGAAGAATATAGTATAGAGTCTTTAAAGTGGAACTATTACCTGTCATTAAGGTCTTGAGCTATGATGAGATGTTTGAGGTGGTAATCTATAGCCCTTTCATAATCCTGCAGAAGTGTGTATGTGTTTCCCAAACTGTAGCAGGCCTGAGCCTCTACAGCGCGGTCCTTCAACTGCCTCGCAAGCTGCAGTGTGCGTCTTAAACACAGAGATATATAACACTCAATATACTGTATCATACAAATGTTATAGTCACTATAAAGATTGTCTTGGAGGCCTACTTGTAATGTTCAGCTGCCACTTCGAACTCCCCCAAAAATATAAAAGCATTCCCTAAATTGCAGTAAGCGCGTCTCTCAGCTGAACGATCTCCAAACTCTTTTGCTATGAGCAGACGCTAAAAACAAATAAGTAAAATCAGACTTTTATGCAAAAATAGTACTTACAAATACAAATATGTATAGTAAAAACAAACCTGTTCATGAGAAGAAACGGCTTTGCGGAAATTTCCCAACAGGTAGTGTGTGTTTCCAAGATTTCCATAGGTTCTACCCTGAGCAGCCCGATCTCCAAGCTCTTTCACTATGGCTAAGTTACCTCTGTAAGTGTACAATGAGGGTTATTTATTTTATTGGTTGGACTTTAATGTCTCACAGGTTCTTTAATGCATACTCATAATATTCTGCTGCTTTCCCAAGAGCTTCCATAACCTCTTCAGGAAAATCACCAGGTTCAGCCCCACTCCAACAGATACTTTTGCCTTTGGCGTGGTACACATTACCAAAGTTATACAGAGCTCTTGCCTGTCCGACCTAACACAAAATAAGAATTTACCATCAGTGCTTTATAAATAATGATAAGAGTAACCATTTCACATATGCGGTTGTCTCACCTTGTCATTAATGTCCCTTGCTATGTCCAAGTGCCTCTGACAGCAGACAACAGCCTCATCAAAGCGCCCCAGAACCTTCAAAGTGTTTCCAAGGTTTCCACTAGCTTTGGCTTCTCCAATAAGGTCACCAATTGTTCTGCAGGATGCACAAGATAAATGGTATCAACAAAATGTCATGCTTTCTTTCCTTGTGGAGTTGCTTCTTGTTGTACCTGGTCAGTGTGAGATCATGTCTGTGAAACTCCAGAGCTTTGGCGTAGTCGTGCAGATGGAAATAGGCATTTCCCAGCTGGCTGTAAATGGCACTGAGCACCTGTAGGTCCTCTGTACCAACCTGAATGGCAGCTTCAAAGAAGGAGACCCCTGCTCTGTAGTCACCCACTTTACAGAGCCGCTCCCCCTCCAGTGCCAGCTCCAAGCAGGAAACCTCCATCCTACAGCACACAACACAACGTTACTTCTTCAACAATCAATGCAGATATTAGCGACAAGTTCAACAATTAAAATACAGTTGTTCCTATGTTCAAAACCTGCTGAAAAGTGAATCCCCTCTACTCTGAACCTACATTTCAAGGCAAAAGCCCTCAAACAGGGAATGCTGTTTAGTTATTTCCTTCCGGCAACAGTGAAAAGAACAATGGGTTTAGCACGGAGTGTTTATTATGGGTGGTCACACATCCTTTTTACCAAACTTTTAGAAATGGTGCTCTGACCTAAATTCAAAGGGCACAATTTAAAAGGTAATTAAAATGATAAAATGACTGGAAAACATATAAAAGAAAAAGTATGCTATCAATTGTTGTGTTTCATTTGTATCCAGTTGTACAAGAAATCAGTTTGTGTGGCCCATTTAAATAATACAGTCAATGTTTGACATAGTTTGTTTACATCTTGCCAAAAAAGTTTGCATACTATTCAAAGCTTTAGTAGAGTCAAACATACACTAAAATTAAAAACTTAACATTAAAGATAAACAATGAAGACATACCACATCACTGATTCATCATTAAGGATGGACTATATATTGGTGTGACTATCAATGGCATTGGGAAGATTTTTTTTTTTGTATTTATCCCATATAAATACATTTTGTTATAAAATCATCCCTAATCATTATAATTTGTGAACAAAGGCTTACATGATGTCCTAAATACAAGCGAAAACAGCTTAGCTTCTCTAAATCATAAATGTTGTTGATGAGGCATTTATCACACAGTTACATGGTGATTATACCAGTCTCTTTATATTTTTTCTATTTATTTTGTATGTATTATTATCATTCATATTTTGCTCTTTGTTATTATAATATATTGTGATGTGTGAGTTACTGTGTCAAAATAATTTCAATAAAGTTTGTCTAAGACTAAGTAACTGAAGTATTACTAGCCTACCTGCTGGCTTTTTGAGCTTTACAACAAGAACAGATTGCACAATTAAGAGGCATCCACCAGCGACTTCAGAATAAACTTCCAGGGTGACCAATTTTCTCTTGTGTATCCATTCAACTTTAAAGTTTCCCACCGCCAAAACAAATATGACTAAATTCTAGCATTCATAAATCAAATAATTAATGCTTTCTTAATGATGGTATCACACAACTCCTTTGACGTCAGATATAAAAATATGCTCCACACATACAATACTGGGATTAGCTTTGCGTACAAGCAAAGGAAACAGCTGATTCAGTATTTGTGAGACTAATCAGCTTGAGTTTCTTTGAGGCTCTCTCTTCTCACCTGGTCACTTCAGATAAGAGCTATAGCATACAGACAGATTACAACTGGCAATTGGCCTTATTGAGACAGTAAAATAAAGTTATATTTATGTTGGTATATCATTATTAAAGTTGGTGAAATATTTCCCCCATGAGAACAGCTGCACTATTCAGACATTTGTGGCCATCAACAAAAGAAGCAGTGATTAATTTTTCAGTACTTCGTAAATATTGAAACAAGAAAAAGAAACCCATCCAATTTGGTGGGTAGCACCTGTTGCTTGGACTATTTACCTGGATTAACAGAGACAGCTGGCTGACAACACTTTTTCACAAGTCAGCTGTGACAAATATACTAAACCAATAAAAGTAAGGATACTACAGTTATTCTGTATAGAATAATTCAAGATTGTTAAACTGAAATAAAGAATTGCCAATCTAGCATTTGCATCATAACTATGAAAAACTATACAATTAACAACTGTTGGGTTGAAACTGAAGAGGTCCCTACCTGTAACGAACATGGAAGGATTGCTCCTCAGGTTGCATGCTAACTACTGTGCCACAACTGGTATCCATTGAAGTGCATAATATGAGAGAAAATCCCAGTTTGGTTCCGTCAAAAAATTTAGCATTTAAAAATTGAAAGTCGAAAAAAAAAAATCACATGAAGTTAGCAAAAACCAGTCTCCATTTCAAAAGCACCGCGTGTGCCCATGTCAAATGTGGACAATAGAAAACACATGGTTGTTTACACAGTAGCGGATTTCTGAGCAGCAGTCCACAGGCCGCATTCATATAGTGTGTGTTTTGCGTCACTGCCTCTCAATCTCCCGTCAGAGGGCTCTGTGGAGAGAACACAAGATGCTGTATGTGAAGCCTCTCTCTGGCCTTATGATGCCATGGCAACACCAACCAAACACCAGCGTGCACAAATGGGACAGGCAGGAAGTGAGGGAACAAGGCAAAAATAAATAGATGGGTACAATCTAATACCATGACTAACTAATGACTAATCTGCATGTGCAAGTCTTAATTAACACAAGGTGAGCTAGTCATGGGAGGAATGTGTACAGCAATTACACAAAGGTAAAAGCACCCAACTCAATTCTCAGTGTAAAGAGCAGCCCACTGAAAAAGAAGTAAAAGAAAAAAAAACAAAAAAAAACATGTTGATGGGATCACCAAGAACAAACAACATATTCAATGACTCAAAATTTTAACATAAGTTCCACACACTAATATATCATACAATATGGTATGCCTTTACATTTATCAAATGACAACAATACAATATTGTAAATGTTAAATTACAACCACTCTGAAGTTAGTTTCATGTTGAACGTATAATGTTGTAATAACTTTATGCCCAGTCTGCTGCATTCTTGGCCACTAAAACACAATTAATTTATACAATGCTCACATTATATATTTTTCTACCACTCTATGGCTACAGGGAGTGTTGTACAAGGTCATTAATAGAAAATCATAATGAAAGAGCAGAAGATATTCATGACAAAGGACTGAACCTAGAAAGACTGGCACAATGAAGACATAAATTTCCTGCACAATCGGTTTTCAACAGTTTGACAACAATAGAGCATTATTTCATTGTACACGTCATATATGTTCTTTGAGCTTTGGACAAGTTGATCCACAAAATGACAAGCTCTCATAGCAAGATCTAAAGATAGAGGCAAGACTCAGCAGAGCACTACCCATGAGCAAGCAAAAGCATATGACAAAACAAAGCAGGGACAGCTTGGGACAGCTCAGCATTTTAGTACCCACCTGTAATTTCTCCACACAAGGACAGGGAGTCTGCCAAAACATACAACAATAAAATCAGACTGGCATCTAGGTACAGAAATAATACCATGCATTTAAACTAGGAAATTTAGAGAACTGTATGGAGCGTTAAATGCACAGGAATATCAAAATAATACTTTAGTTTACGTAAAGGAAAGTTATAACATTTCACAATTGCTTGATAGACCTATCCAGTAGTAACAAGACAAAATGGGTCAATAACAGAACAAACACTAGGCGTTAACCTATGGAATTTATTATTAAATGATGTGAGACATCGTGATGATAGAGACGATAACTCAGATAATGTTAGTACATAGTAATAGTACATAGTAATGTAGTGTCTCTAAAGTTACCAATTCTATGCAATACCAAGCTAGTTAACTCATTGGCTAACTTCATATGATATCCATGGGCTAACTTAGCGGTTAGCAGCTAGGATAAACTTACGTTCGTCGATCCAGTTTGAACAATGGTGATCCCTTTTCTTCTTTTCCTGGCATGCAATTAATATTCAAATCGCTAAGTAAAACGTAAATATCTTATAGTTTGAGGGAACTTCACACTGACCTGTATAAATCTACATCGCATTAACTATCATGTTTTATAAAACTTAAATTTAACTTCGATAAGTCTGGCAGAAGCGATTTGTGTATGTTCCCCTTGTGGCCAATCACAAATGGATATTCAAAGTTAGCCGCGCCCACAATGCGATCCGATACCCAATGGCATTTGAACACAAAAAGATGACGTTACGTTACGCTCCCACAGACTCCACTGAAGTTTACTGAACTGTACATGCCTTCACATTTGTTTGTTTCTTTTTTGTTGATGAAGCAAGAAAAGGTGCTCACTTACGTAAATCAAACTGTACAATACACAATATGTACTATGGTATCTATGCATGTATGTACGTATGTAACATAGTGCCAGGATCATCTGAGCCAACTGTCAAAACTTGTTTTATGATAAAGAATTTACCTGGAAGTTACCGGGATTACTTAGCAACCATGCACCTGTAAGCTCCCATTTTGAGTCCAGACCAGACGTCCAGCGTTTAGCTGTACATTATTAATGATGCCACAGACACAGAACCTGTTCAAGACTCAGTGTGTCACAAAGATAGTGTGTAGGCATGGAGCTACATTCAACAGGCCGTTGAAGTATTTGCATACGTTAGGGTACTGCTGCAGTAGGATTTCAGGTAAGTTTTTTTTTTTTTTTTTTATGAAATTAAAGTACGACTACATAGGTCCTCATGTAGTTAACTGTATTGTGTATTTTTCTGCTCCCACTATGGCTTTTAAAAAGCCTTGTGTTGTTCTCTGACAGGTTGTGTTGCTTGGTGATGAATGAATGCCCTTACCACCTGTAATTGTGAGACAGGTGAATTACGACTAAAGAAGAGACTAGACTAATGGAAGGAGAACCAGGAGTAGTGCGTGATGAGCCAGTGGTGTTATGGGAAAAGCGTATTCAGCAGAGCATCATTGTGGATCTTAGTGAAGATGAGAGTATCCACTTAAGTGATCTGGAGAGTTCCCTGGCTTTTCACATCTCACAGGTAGACTCAGCTCCCTCAGAGGCCAGTGTCCACCTTTCAGGTAAGGCACTATAATTAAGCTGCTATTGCGTTCACAATTTAATGGGGCTAGATGAAGATATAGTGCAAAAAAAGTTAGGGCAGCACATTATATCACACTCAAATTGACTCAAAACAAGCTTGATTTGCTGCAAATCAAATAGCAACCACTGCATATATTTAGATAATAGGATGTCCTCTGCAAAGAACACAATATCCTTTATTTTCATAGGAAAGTCTTGTTGTACCTCAAATTTAAAAATCTACAAACATGTTCTGAAATGCATATGCTTCTTGTATTCATTTATAAGTTAATTTCCAAACACATATGGCAAATCAAATCACAATCTCAATACTTTCTTCAGTCAAAACCTAATTACAACACATAACTGTCATATAAAGATACTTTGGTGCTGATGTATTCTATTCTTTTCTATTTTCTATTTTCAGGAAGTGCAGAAATGTCTGATTATGACAACTCTTCAGAGTCTATCATCAACAGCCACCATGAGGGACATATGAGAAATCACACCAGAAGCAATGAAGTGTGTGTGTCTGTCCTGAGACCAAACACAGCAGTACAGGACGTGCCCTCCCAAAACCTGTATAATGACGACCCAGGGCAGAGCACCAGTGATGAAGACCACGAGGAACTGCCGTATGATGGGGACTTGGGAAGCCTCTACTTTAACCGTGTTGCCCATTCAGACATTAGCCAAGATGGAAGACGATCAAGTTGTAATGATCCAGATTTGCATCATCTCAGTGAACTAATAATAAATGATGCTGGTGAAAAAGAGTTAGCACCAGTCAAGCCCACCATGAAAGCAACAGAAAGCTTAGAGGAAAATGCCAAGGCTAAACAGGATAAAGATTCACATATGGAAAGTGAAGCTTCAGGAAGCATTCCCTTTATCCAGTTGCCTTCAAAAGATGATTTATTACGATCCGGACGCCTCATTGAAGCGGAGACCCTTCCAGAGGTTTCTTTATTAGACAGTATGGATGAAATTCTTTATAGCAGAGCTTCAGTGCACAGCAGCAAGAATAATCCTTGTTACCATGGTTTAACATCAATTAGTAAGAGTAATTATAATAGCTACTCAGAGCAAAAAAGCACTGCAAATGTGAATATGAGTTTATTAGAAACTGAAAATATCATTAAGGATGGTACATCATCTATTGCAGAGATTGTCTCATTAAATTCATACAGTAATAGCTCTAAACATCAAATTATCAGTGAGACTTGGTCAGATGAAGCTGAAGAGGAAATGAAAAATGACAAAGCCCCACTTCTGCGAGCCAGATCGTTTAATGAGATTAAATATGGACAGGGTCAAGTCCACTATCCTCTGCCTGATTTCTCCAAAGTGGCCCCCAAAATAAAAATACCTAAAACTTCCAGAGAATCACTCAAACCAATGCCGCAGCCTCCAAGCAGTATTCACAGAGCCCACTCATCTCCTGACATGTTAGATGTGGTGAGCAGAGTCCTTGAAGATTCAGTATTTACATCAGAGAGACCAAGTGTCTTCATTGAGCCAGACAAATCAGCAATCCCAGCACTTGTGCAGCACCTACAGGTAGAAGTGTTTTATTTTTATATGTAAAATATAACTAATTTATCTTTTTCAATAGTATATTTTTTTTTAGGATAAATATGACAAACTTCTCACCAAATATGCTGAAGCAGAGACTCTCATAGATCGGATGAGACTGGGGACAAAAGTAATATTGTTAGTGTTATTTTTTAATGTACTTCGAGCAAACACATTATTATCTTTTTTACGTCTACAGGCTGCTTCTGCAATACAACTTCGTTTTGATGACAGCCAGAACTACGTAGCTGAAGGATCCATACTTAATCCCTTAGGTTGGTCCGTGTGTGTAATGGCAGGTCTGAACATGTGTCTTGTACATACTACTAGTCAGTATTAGATGCTTTCTAAGGACATCTGGATTCATATTTCACCATCTGAATTATATTGCAAAAATATCAAACTGTATTTATCCTATTCAGATTGAGGTCATGATATTTTGCTAGTGCTAATATTAAAACTATTTTATGCCACTGATACAATAATAACAATAATGAAAAATAATCTTTGTAATCCATTTTTAAGTGTAGTATAATTAAGTCGCATGAGCTGCAACAAATAAATAGCAGAAAAAAAACTATAAATAGCCACAGAAATGACTTTTTCAACCTTTAACAGCTCAAATCTGATCACATACAAAAACACCAAAAATTTCTCGACTTTTCCAAAGAAAATGTACATAAAATAAATTTTGAGCCCCAAAATATATAGTTCCAGCTTTCATATACTGAACGATAAGTTCAGTATATGGCAAGGCAAGTTTATTTGTATAGCACAATTCGTACACAAAATAATTCAAAGTGCTTTACAGAATAAGAAATACATTAAAATCATAATAAAAACAAATAAAAACATAAATAATCATGAAGATTAAAATAAAAAAAGAGAGACATAAATTGGAGAGAAGAGTGCGGAATGAAAACCTTTTTATATGCACAGTTAAACAGAAATGTTTTGAGCCTGGATTTAAACAGCGTCACAGAAGAGGCCTGTCTCACATGTTCAGGAAGACTGTTCCAGGTTTTAGCTGCATGAACCTGAAACGCTGACTCCCCTTGTTTAGTTCTGACTCTGGGCACCAGCAGGAGGCCGGTCCCTGAGGTCCTCAGAGTGCGAGATGGTTCATATGACACGAACATGTCACAGATGTACTTTGGTGCTCGGCCATGGAGAGACTTGTACACAAGCAGAGCTGCTTTAAAGATTGATTAAGATTATTGTAACAGGTCTGGCCCTGAATACAACAGTGCACAAGCCTGCCATTTGTTTGCATTTCAGAGAAATTGGATGCAACCCAGTGTACTGATAATGACGATTCAGTGGACTCCAAAGATGGACCCAGTGATGGTGAATTAATGACGACTGAGCTCTCTAACATAGCCACCCAGTTTATGCAAAATGTATTTCTCATTCATTGTATTACATAATTAACTTATTTATGTTTAAAAGTTTGTAAATATACTGTATCTCAATTTGCTTTTGCACTAAGGTAGATGATTTTAAATATAATGTAAGCAACAAATCAATAAACCTAGAGGAGCAGCAAATGGTGAGTATAGTTTTTAAGCGTGAATAGTCCTATAGCCATTGACTAGAAATGGTTTTATTACATAATAGTCACAAATTGTGTTTTTTCAGATGTTGAGAATTTTGATGGAGGCCCAGGACCAACTGGAAAGAAAATACATAAGTAAGAAAGAAGAGCACAGAGCTTTGGAGATGCAGAAATATATGGGGATTAACAGGAACACTGGCACTTTTGACCCTGACAGGTAAAGGTTACACTAACTTATCGTGTACTTCCTTTTATCATTATTTATTTGTATTTTTTATTTGTTCTTTATGTTTACTGGTTTTGTCTGCTGACTTGTATAGGCTGGTAGAGGGAGGTATTTTCAGATTAGGGATGCTTCTTGAAGATATAAAGGATATGATAGACAAGAATATGTGTGACCAGATTTCACTGCCCCAGTCTTCATCCACTCCAAGATCATTCAATGTCCACATTAGACCACATGTGTTGTGTATGTCTCCACCAACGGCCCCACTGTCTCTGCACGAGGTAACACATTTATAGTCTATTATTATTTCCTCTGTGTCACCCTTTGCATGATTATAAATATTGACACTAAGAAGTGGGATTGTATAAGTCTAAAATTTCTCACCATTTCGTTTTAAATTGTGTAACTTTTCTGGTGGAAGAACGGTTTCCAGGTCAAGTTGTGGAGGGGGTACCTTGCTCTTAGTAAGAATTATTGTTTATTATTGATTTCGTGGAAAAATATTTTGAATAGATGCAAGATCGAAAAGTTTAAGGCCATACTGTAGAACGTTACAGACAGAACGAGAACATCTCCATGAAGACAAGCAGGTAGCAGATCTTCCACCATATATATATATATATATATATATATATATATATATATATATATATATATATATATATATATATATATATATATATATATATATGTATGTATATATATATGTGTATGTGTATGTATATATGTATATATGTTAGTGAAGAGAGACTACAGATTTCACGTATTATAATAAAAATACAAAATGACAATAACCCAAATATATGATTTATGATTAGGTAGTGAATTATTTTTTGAGTCTGACTGCAGCTCACTTTTCAGGATCAGACTACATCTTTTTCTGCTGTGGCCAATGAGATGGAGATCACAACAGAAGCTAGTACAGGTCAGGGGGATTATCAAGTGGAGCAAAATAATGAGCATATTGTTACCGACCATACCGAAGGTAGAGAGTTGCACAGCTACTCATGGTATGTATCAATTTTATTTTATTTGTATTTATACATACTTATATTAGTTATAGTTATATATTTATATTTGTTGTTAAAGGTGCATTGTATAATTTTCAATTGAAGGGTCTGTCAAATGCTTTTCTCCACATAGATGTTATTGGTTTGTCTGGAATGTTTCACCATATGGTATTACAGTTTTCTAGACCAGACTAAACTAGACCAAGTTACAGGTCAGATTTGTGGAGAGGCAACTCCGCTCACAGTCAGAATGCCTGTTTTTCAGTGTATATTTGATTTGCATTTATATAGCCCAAAGACACCCACAGTACTTCACAGTCCTTTACTTTACATTATTCATTCCCTTCACACTAAATGGTGGTAAACTTCTATTATTGCCACAGCTGCCCTGGGGCAGACTGATGAAAGCAAAGCTGCCAATATGCGCTATCGGTCCCTTTGACCATCACTGTCACTCACACACACTCCACTCCTCTTACTAAGCAATATGGGTAAAGTGTTGTGGCTAAGGACACAACTACAGTTTTTGCTTCTGGTGCCCAACTATGGCACCTGGAATTCCCAATGGCCATCCGTCCAAGAACAGCCTAGGCCCGCCCTTGCTTAGCTTCTGAAATCTGACGAGATCAGGCTTTGACAAGCTGGCATGGCCACAATTTTCATGCAGAGCAATGACATATTCATAGAAAAACACAGGTGACAGACCCCCAGTCAAAAAGTTACATGGTGCACCTTTAACATAATATTACATTGCAAACTCTAAAACTGTACGTATTGATATTATTAGTATTGTTTTCTTACATAACATAGCACGTGCTCAGTCTTCCTGTAGCCATATACTGTTTCAGCTGAACCACTGGTGTAAGGTTGCTTCACAATGAGAGACTGTGGCTGCAAGTTTTGTTTGCTTTCCCCAGGTCACCACATGCATTTCAGACAGTGTGTTTGACTTCATCAGAGGAACACAAAGACCAACAAGATGAAGAGTCAGTTTTGACAGAATGGATTCGATACAGTAACATCCTAGCTTACTTTGATTTGACCAAGACCAGTTCCAGGGAAACCTTGCCAATCAGTAGAAGGTTTGTGGATTTTTTTGTGGGCATTTTTGTAAGCCATCATTATTATGTTATTTTTATTTAATTATTTTTATTTTAATTATGCAAGAAATGTGTTGCCATGATGTTGATTTGTGTACATACTATATCAGTATACCCTTGCTGGTCTGTGCCTTTCTTGCAGTACACAGGATAGAGCACAACACCTGGAATCTGATCTGGACAATTGTGTGAGTTTGTCTGTGGAAGTCTCTTGCTCCAGTGAAGATTCTAAAGGTTGTGACAGTGTTCCTGAACCACTTCTCAAAACCTCTGTGTCTCAGGTCAGTCCCCACTAAACTCAGTGCAAAGACTGTAACAACGCTGAGGTAATTGATTTTGTTTTAAATGATACAGAGAAACATGAGCCCAGAGACAGACAGTGGGTTTGGAAGTTCTTACTTGAATCAATTTGCATCTGGCTCTTTCCAGCAAAATCTTAATGAAAGGTAAAAGCAGAGCATTCATATCATTCACTTATGTATTTAATCTGAGGAGCTATGAACGTTCTAGTCTGTTACAATAGGTAAGATCAAAATACAATGTTGTGGGCACATAATTTCAAATATGTATTGTTTCTGCTGATATTTCATTTTTCATTTGTTTGTGTTATAGTTTTCAGTCTCAGAAGGCTCCTATAAGCAGCTCAGATAGTGAGGGTTCATGTTCCAACCTCCAGACAACCATTGAGCCAGTCACCAAAGCCCAAAGAGCTGTGCCTCCTGTAAGGTCAGAACAGCCCGGTGCATCAAATCCAGTCCAGCAGTGCCTCGAGAGCACAACTAAAGAGGCTATATTCAGAGTACAAGGTATATCAATGCATACTGCCATTGTGTCCTTATGCAAGACATTTTCCACTTCCCCTGTGAATGTAGTCTGACTACATAGTGTGAGTGGTGATTGCAGGGGTGCAGATTGGCAGCCCCAAGGCAGTTGTGCCTACAAAAGTAGATTACAATCACGTGATCTGGCTCAAAGAAGATCATATTATTTTTTTGTCTAGTGTCCTGTATACTGTACTGTATACCGGAGTGAATTATTATAGTTAATAATGATGTCCATTGTAAAACTGATATTTGTGGATATTGTAGGTACCAAGCACCACTACATGTCAGAACCTATGCTGGGTAGAATAAACACACAAGGAAGTCCAGTGTATTCCTGTTCTTGTAACAAGTGAGTCATTGGATCTCAGTATGTTACATATAGCAGCACACAATATGCTGCTATATGTAACTTTGTAACTTTATTGCACTTTTTGTTATTCCTCTGAATGGGCAGTGAAGCCATTTTAGCCTTACAATCAGAAGTATCCAGACTAAAGAAAGACATGGAGGAGGGCCTCATTCAGCTACCATACCTCACCGACAAACTTGACTACCTCTCCTCAAAATACAGACACGAGCGTTCAAAGTCAAGATCAAGGAGCCACCAAAGGTTATCTGCAAACAGGTGCACATCTGTCACATTCTGATATTTTACAAAAGACTTTAATTCGTTTGGGATATACTGCTAAATATCTTCTCTACAGCCCATTAAAGTCACCCACTATTGGACTAACCCTGGACAATACCTCCCCAAGTCCTGTCAATTTAGAATGGATGTCTACATACATAGATCCTGCCAGAAACAAAGGTACAATTTACTTGTCCATTTCTAATACAAGCACATCAACGCTGTGTTGACTGCACACATTTTCCTCAACAGACACTGAAGACACAACTGCCTCAGACATGCAGTTTGACTATTCACCTATAGAGGGAGGAAGAGGCAGTGATTTTCTTCATCTTGATTCAGGGCTTCACTCACCAGGAGCAGGGTTATCAAGTAGAGGTATGAAAGCAGCATTTCTTATATATTTCTTTATAAAGAATTTACAACTTATCCTGAGTGAGTTAAAATAAAATAAAAATATTTTTAACATTTTAATACAAATCAAAGATGTAAAAAGTCCTGTTGCTGTTACTGCACTTCATTTTTATGCTTTTATGCTCAACAGGATTTACAGAAAAATGGTCTCCAATTTACTCAACAGCAATCCACAAACCACTTCTCCAGGTCAACTATGGCTCTTCCAGCAGCTTGCCTGCAAGGTTAACTTGTCCCATCACTACAGTACTGCTACTCACTGCTTAAAATGATATTTTACATTGTATAATAATTTTACAGTTATAAATTGAGGGAGTATCCACTACAGCCAGCAGCCTACAATCGGAAGAGGTCCACCCAATCAGACTCTGCCCTTCTGCCCAGCAATGTCTTTTTTCAGCGCACAATGTCTCCTCTCTCTGCACCCTCAAAGTTAGGAGGCAGAACAACCAGGCACAGTCAAAACAAGGTAATATACTGTATAATATAAGTTTGAAACATGTCTATATTAAAAAGAGTCACTGTACATCTCTTGGCAATTAGGAAGAAGACATTCACCGTACTCTTGACAAGGCAATTGAGGTGGCTCATAGCATGAAGAAGACCACAGACCGTATGGCTAAATGTCTGTCCGCCGACTTGGCCAAAGCAAGACAAAAAAAGTTGTACAGGGGCAGAAAGCACCATGATCTCTAACATAGAATTCAACAAAAAAAATGTATTTAAAATACATGGCAGACCATAATGGACATTTTTATGTAATAAAGAGTTGATTTAAATGAAACATTTAAAGAATAGAGATAAAATTGGCAGGTAGTGTAGGAAGGACTTTTTTCTCCCTGTGGAGCATCTTCATGTACTGAGGCATTCTTTATCCCAAAATTATTATTACAGGCACGATCTTTTATCTTTCTTTTATCTCACTGATTCTTATTTCTACACACTAACAATCCTCATAAAAGTAAAAGCATGAATTTCATTTATCACTTCTCATTGTCAAAAGATGTCCTTATGTGATCCTGGTATTTGATCATATCCAAATAACATAAACTTTGTTATTTATCCTTGAAGCCTATGTTTTCTTGGTCTTCAGTGATGTAAGCCTGTGTATCGGGTAAATACAGTTAGATCAAATGTTACTGGATCACACTGGTGTTAGTTTACATTTCAGGAAAATCCCTTTTGTGCTACCTCCACTGTTCCAACTTTATCAAGTATCAACTTTTATCCTTATAGCTAAAAAGCTCACCTGATGCCTCATATATTGCCATCACTGCTCGCCTGTGGGTGCTAGTGTCTTCTTACTGAGTTTCTGTTCCTGGCTTTGTTTGTTCTAAAGCGGTATCGGTATATAAGCATATATAAATATGCCCAAACGACATTTTTAAGCTCTCCATCTAAATCTTCAGTCATTGTCTCTTACAGCCTTTACGTAAACAAAAAGATACATGATTTTATATACATGCACACAAATGTCTGTAGTTCTCAAACTAGAGTCTGTTAATGTATTCAAGCTTTTGAGACTGAGTATCACCACAACAAACCAGATACTGTTTGAACAGCATCAAAATGACTATAAGGATAAATATTGTTTCTACTTAAAAATAAATGAAGACAAAACTGAAGAAAGCCCTGAGTAGCACCAGGGTTAGAAACACTAGCCAAACAATATTTATTGTTACGAAGCTGAAACCCACGAATAGGGTACCTCATTCAAAGAATTCAGAATTTCTGGAGGCATGTCTATATATATTTTTTCATGGATATCTCAGGAAATAGAAAGTGACCTACTTTGTATACAAAACAAGTGTAGCAGTTAACTGACACCAGGTAACACCACTCTATTTGAATACAGTACATAACCTAGGTTATGTGAGGTTGGAGTTTATGCCTTCCAGTAAGACTGTTATAGGTTCTAACCACAGGCCTTTCGACTTACAAGCCATCATACATCACACACGTGTTGTAAATATGTGTAAAATATTACACAATCATTTTTTGTAACAAAAGGCAAAATTTTCAAGTCTGTGCTATTTGGCAAGAAGTCTAGAATATGTGAGCAGTGTAAAATATTGTGACATTTTATGATTTTACATACATTTCTTACTTTTAATTTTTTAATTCTGAAAACATTCTGAATTTCAGTTCTTGAAATGATAAGTATGCATTTTCAATGTGTTTAAAGTTTCAAAATAAACCATTAGTTTATTTTAGGTAGTTGTGTGACTGAAGAGGACAGGGGCAGGCTGTTTCCTATTGTCTTTTCTCTTTTGTGACCAGTTAGACTGATCCCATTTCCTGGTAGAATCACTTAGAATTGATTGCTTATGCCTCAGTACCTTGGGTCTTTACTGCGAAATTTCTCAGTGAATTTTACACTCTGAATTTGGATATGTAAAATATATGTGCTGAATATTTAAAATATGAACATTTTTGAACTCTGGAAAAATTGGAAAAATAAAATACAAGGATGTTCTGCAGAGTAAAAAAAAGTTAAAGTGAGAAATTCAACAGCATTTAAAATTCTATATCTGACGTAACCTGATTACCTTTCATCTAAAACCAATAAATGTATTAAGATATTTGACACAGCAAGTATCAGCATCAAGACTTGCAATATTCAGTTGCAAAGCTGAAACCCTGGAATAAGGCAATGCACAAGAATTCAGTGTCTGTAGACATGTGGCAAGTGCTTATATTTTTTCTTTGAAAATACTGAAAATGACTCAATTCAGTACACAAAATAAGAGTAGTAGTTAATTGACACCAAGTAACACCATTGCATTTGAATGCACTACATGACCAAGATTATTTGAGGTTGGAGATACAGTTCATGCCTTCCAGCAAGATGGCTACAGGTTCTATGCACAGGCAACATTGACACAACTCACAAACCAACTGTAAAATGATTTGTAAGAACAGATCTGAACTGCCATAGTGTGGAGAATGTGTCTAGTGTATTGTCTTACATGTACACACCTAAAGAAATTAGATGTATGGATGAAAACAGGTCAAATACCAGAGTCTGTGGCCACTTAAAGAAAAAGGTGAAAATGTAATCAATATTTTATTCAGTTCGTCCCTAAATTGCTGTCTGTTGGATGTCAATAATCCTTTAAAGGTCCTATATTACACAAAATTGACTTCTGTGAGCTTTATGCCAAACTATAATGTTCAAAACCATTCCTGGAATTGTGTTCTGTTTCATTCACACATGTTTCTGTAACCCTTTATTATATTCTGTCTATACCTGCAAATCTCAGAATACACCTTGTGATGTCATGAAGCTGTAGTTTTCAAGTTACAGATACCTTTTACCTTTAGTTCAGCAAAGACCGGAAATTCCAGAGTAATAATTCAATGATTCTAGTGAAGGTGTATGGAGTGTGCACAGTGGAGTACTTCCTGTATTACCACATGACATCACAAGGTGGAACAGAATATTTTCTGTTTTCAGGATTTAAGTGTTAAACATGTGTGAATAAAACAAAACACAACTCCACATATATTTGTGATGAGAAAACAACATTAACATAATAGAGATCTGAAAATAACATAATACAGGCCCTTTAAATCATGATTTATTTATTTACTAAAAGAAAACAGCAGAGCAAAAATAAATGAATAAAAATGTTACTTTGTGCATCTTTCCTCAGTATCTATAGATCTGCATGTCCCCATTTAAACCTTTAGTTCCTCTCCATCCTCCATCCTCTCCATCCAGACGTGCCTGACTGCATTTAGGTCTTATTCCTACTGAATGGAGGTGAGGTGGTTCAAGCAAAATGCCAAAACTCTGAAGTGACATTCAGGGAGAAGTTCAGTCAGAGATACATAGATTTGAAACAGCATCTCAGAGACAGTCTCACATTAAACACATTTAAAATGAACCTCAAACATTGGCTGAAGAGAAACCAGGTCTGTGCTCAATTAACCTAAAGTTTTTGTTGTTTTACTCTAATGTTGTAATGTGTATACTGTATGTTTGTTACTGAATTTCTGTACAGTGCTAAATGTTGTATTTGTTCTGTGTTTTCATATTTTCAAAATATCAGTGTTCCTAATAATTCCCATGTTCTTCTGATAATTCCAGATAATTTCTATGGAAATGTTCCAACTTTGAATATTCCAGAAATTTAGCAAAATTTTGTTCTACATACAGTCGTTGAAAATTGTTGGTACCCCTCTGGTAAGGAAAGAAAAATCAACAATTTTCACTGAAAAACTTGAAACCGAGAAAAGCAATAATAAACAAACATTTCCTGACAAATAAGAAATGAAAATCAGACACTGTTTTTGATTTGTTGTTCAATAGAATTATTTAAAAAAAACAACGGAGTGTCTATTTGCACCCTGGGTGTTAATAGTTCAATGGACACGATTCTTCTATTTACACCCGTCTCAAGAAAAAAAGGGAATGGTGACGTGTCTGCTTACGTAATTTCCTGTGAAAAGTGCGGGAAGCTGGATTCGACAATCCAAAGAAATACAATTTAAAACGAAGGTAGGGTAAGGTAAGGTAAAAAGTAAATCAGTGTTGCTGCAAAATATATTTGCATTGCCCGTCCGACCATTACGATTTGGGTAATTAAGCTGAAGGCATCACAGCATCATGGACACTTATTTAGCTTGTGCGATGTATAGCTAGCGGTAATGCTAGTTGATCTGTCTATTCAGTTCAAGTACAGCCTCGAGTAAGATAATGGTAATATTAAAAGTAGTTCAAAAGTAAGCATTTGGCCCTCGTAAGCACCATAATTACTACAGAACGACATCAGCCCGTTTGAGATTATAATGTATTTTTTCAACAGTCATTTCACTCATGTACAGTCATTTAATTTACGTCGGCTCCCGTGTCACTTTCGTCTCCAGGCAAATTCTCCCTTACTCGTGTGCTGTCCTCTTCATCACGCAGCAGTCCAGCCTTTCCAAACCCGTTGGTTATCGTGGATTTTTTCACATGGCCCCACGCTGTCACAATGCATGATATAGTGTCTGTACTGGTTCACCCAATACGCACAATACGCACATTGAGTAGGGCCCCGTGAACCAATAGAGGCCCCTTACCTTGGCGTTACCCCTTTTCGCATACGCTACGTGGATCCATGCGTCTCCTCCCGCTCCCGTGCGCCGCATTTCCTCCAGTACACCGCGTGGTCTCCCGTACAGCGCATCGGCCAGAACTAAAACCAGAACTAAGACCAGGACTGAACCAGAAGTTACACCAGGACTAAATAAGAACTAAGACCAGGACTAAATCAGAACTAAACTAGAACTAAAACCAGTTTTAAACCAGGACTAAAATCAGGACTAAAACCAAGTCTAAATCGATGATTCCGCATCATTTTGAGTAAAAAAACATCAACTATTACTGTCAGTGATTTTTAATTTTAATTTTTTAATAAATAACCTGGGTGTAAATAGCATTTTTGTCTAGGAACACCCGGGTGCCCTTCTATGTGGCACGCTAAATACACCCGAATGTAAATAGCAACAATGGCTATTTGCCCTATGTGTGAATAACAATATTAGCTATTTACACCCAGGGTGCAAATAGCATCTGCCAAAAACATGAAACTGTCCTGGACAAAAATTATGGTACCCCTAGAAAAAAAATGTTAAACTGAGGTGTGTCCTCTAATCTGCATCACAGGTGTCTTCAAACTTGTCCTCAGTCAGTCTGCCTGTTTAAAGGGTGACATGTTGTCATTGTGCTGTTTGAAGACATGATGGAGACAACACTGAGGATGGACCAGAGAAAGTGAAGAAGAGAACTGTGTCAGGAGACTAGAAAGAAAATGATAGACAAGCAGGGTAAAGATAAAGACAGTAAGGCCATCTCCAAGCAGTTTGATGTTCCTGTGATTACAGTTGCACATGTTATTCAGAAGTTTAAGGTCCACAGGACTGTAGCCAACCTCCCTGGACATGGCCGCAAGAAGAAAATTGATGACAAATTAAAGAGATGGATCATACAAATGGTAACCCAAGAGCTCAGAACAACCTCCAAACAAATTAAATGTAAACTTGAAGGGCAAGGTACATCAGTGTCAGACTGCATCATCTGTCACTGTTTGAGCCAAAGTGGGCTTCATGTGAGGACACCACTGCTGAGAGCAAATCATAAAAAAGTAAGACTGGAATTTGTCACAATGCATATTGACAAGCCACAAAGCTTCTGGGAAAATGTCCTTTGGACAGATGAGACAAAACTGGAGCTCTTTGGCAAGACACATCAGCTCTATGTTCACAGATGCAAAAATGAAGCAGACCAAGAAAAGAACACTGTCCCTACTGTGAAGCATGGAGGAGGCTTGGTTATGTTCTGGGGCTGTTTAGCTGCATCTGGCACAGGGTGTCTTGAATCTGTGCAAAATACAACAGAATCTCAAAACTATCAATGTAATTTGGACCAAAATGTGTTGCCTAGTGTCAGAAAGCTTGGTCTCAGTCATAGGTCATGGGACTTTCAATAGGATAATGACCCAAAACACAAAGCAAAAAACACACAAAAATGACTAATAACAAAACATTGGACTGTTCTGAAGTGGTCTTCTGTGAGCCCAGATCTCAATCCTACTGAACATCTGTGAAAAGAGCTAAAAGATGCTGTCTGGAGATGGAACCCTTCAAACGTAAGACAACTGAGCAGTTTGCTCATGAGAAATGGGTCAAAATACCTGTTGACCAGTATAGAAGCCTCATTGACAATTACAGAAATCGTTTGTTTGCAGAGTTTTCCTCAAAAGGTTGTGCAACAAAATATTAAGTTAAAGGTACAATAATTTTTGTCCAAGCCAGTTTCATTATTTTGTTTTTTCTAATAATTCTGTTGAACCACAGGTGAAAAACAATGTTTGACTTTTGTCAAACATTGGACAATTTTCAATACATTTTTATTCATTATTGCTTTTCTCAGTTTCAAGTTATTTCAGTGATTATTGTTGATTTTTCTTTCATTGCCAGAGGGGTACTAACAATTTTGTCCATGACTGTATAACATGTCCTGATGAAGGCCCAGTATAGCCATGTTGGTGTTTAAAAAAAAAAAAAACTGTTGCCATGAAATAATAAAGGCTTTTAACAATTTTGTAAAACCCTACTTAGTCCTTTTTCAATTTATAATGACCGATTCCAAATTTGAAGCAACATATCTGAAAACACTCCTGCAGTATTCCAGTCAGCTTTTTGTGAACAAATGTTTTACTGAAATACATCTATATTTCAAAACACTAATTTGGCCCCCAAAGTGATTATATAAACACTTGCTAGAATGACCTTAGGACAACTATAAATCTGATAAAACAGTTTCATCTGCCTGTCACAATAGTGTTGCATTCAGGAGATATCAAATAGTGTGTAGACAAAAACTTAAATAGGCCATAAAACATGTTGCCAGTAACTCCCATCTCAAAATGGGTCATCCTTTGTATTCGTGTAAAGTGAGTCTTCAGGTTTCTCAACTATCATGCCGGTAATGTTCTTTTTGATGAATTTTTACTGAATAACTCTAAATAGATCTAAAACATTCAAAAGTATTTTACAGATTTGGCATATAGAAATGTAAAGATGAAACACACCAAGAATAATATATATATATATATATCTTTAATGACTTAATCTACATGATAATCTGTCTGTGATGGGCTACCTAACGCCCTACGGGGAGGAGTTAGAGCATTTGGTATTTTCAAACAATAACGCACCTGTGGGTTTATCTGGAGGACAGAAGGGGAAGAGAGAGAGACAAGGAAAAGTTTGATTTAAGCCTCCCCTTGCTCCCCTCAAGTCATTTTTACTCAACACACTGACAACTCACAACTAGCCTTAAGGCAGTGGAGGGGAGAGACATGTGGACAGCACACATAACAATGCTGCGGCTTTTTCTTTTAATGACTATTGTGGAGGTAAGAAATAATTTACTTTTTATTCCAAAACATGTTTGGTTGTCATAGAATATTGTTTTAATTAAAGTGATACCAACTAGAAAAGACAAGTTAACATTGTAAGTTTAACTTTACCAAGCACATGTGGAATGCTGAATCCTTCATCAAAGGACAGATACATCCCCACCTGAAAGAAATACCAGCACAGCACAGTTCTCAAATCTGTGATGAGTGAGAGTAATGTCCGGCCGTCTGCCAGTCATTTTCTGTGAACCTGATCCGGTGGGCAATTAGCCCTATGTATATGTCTACTGGACTTCCCCTGTTTCTAAAAGTCTTTAGTTCCTGTAATTTGTTAATGTATTCTCTATTGTTTTACTGACTAGCATATGTTTTCTTATTTCAGATATGTGCTGCTCAAATTGGTAAGAAAAATGCTCATATTTCTACTAGTATTGTGCAAAACATTTTAGTTTTATTGTAACACTGACTGTCATTAAAGATTATTCTCTGAAGATGTGCTGTTAAATCAAATCAATGATTGGGTTCCGCGTTCTACATCTTTTGAACATGTGAAATACTTTGCACCATAATGCAGTTTCTGTGCATACAACACTTGTGTATCTGTTTTCTTTTTACAGATATCACCCTGTCAGTTTATACAGTTACTTCTAAAACCCTGACGATGGAGTGGACTCCATTCCCTGGTGCCAGCTTCTATAAACTCAAGGCAACACCAAAGAACTCCCCCCAAGGGCAAGTGTTTGTTCAGTTTGGCCATAGCACCATCCTGGGCTCCATCACCTCCCTCACCCCAAACACACAGTACATGGTGCAAATAGAGGCCATAGATGACCAAATGGCTGTCCTCGTCAGTGGGGAAACTGATGCTTTAACAGGTCAATTCCACCTTTCTGATCAGTCTTGTTTTTAATATAAATGCTTTTGACAACTTCCCACATTATAGATCTGTATTGGTAAATTATATCTATATCTATCTATCTATCTATGTGTGTATATATATATATATATATTTTTTTTTTTTTTTTTTTTTTTACTTTTCCTTAGCTCCTGAAATTCCTGTTATAAGTAGTACCTATTCTAAATCGAGTGAAAGCATCACAGTAGAGTTCCCGCTGGTCACTGGGGCGACGTCTTACATCTTGAGAGCTGAGTCCAAAATTGGTACTTTCTTCTCCGAGACTCGTGTGCTGGGCTCCCCAGGCACCATAGAGGGTCTCCAGGTTTACACAGAGTACGAGATTAGCATCATGTCCAGGAATGCAGGGGGGCGGAGCCAACCCTCTTACCCAAGTGACCAGAGAACAGGTACGAACACCTACACATATATGTAAACCTTAAACCTATAAACCATATACTTTTTCATGGAATGTGGCAGGACTTGAACAGCAGTGGACACTACACATCAGGTCCAGTTTAATAAAAAAAAATAAAAAATCTGTGTAAAAACTGTGAAAAGCTTGTGAGTTGGCTTGTATGACAATAGGTATCTCATTCTCACGGCCATAGCGGCTTTTTGTTCCTCTGCCTATTGTCACTTGGTCTCTCCTATGTGCTGTGCCGTAAACACACAAGGGTGGAAACTTGATCTATTTTCACTGTACTGTTCTGATATTATGAAAAGAGATAGCATGAGAACTAGGTTGACGCAAATCCCGAAGGACATCTCAGTGTAACATAATCAGATAGATACTACACTAAAAACATAAGTTCAAACTAAGTTACACAAATTGGATTCTGAATTGTTATTTTTTTTACCTTTTCTTTGTGCAGTAATTGCTCCACCAGACTTGATAACCACATCTCCGAACAGTACCTCGATTGTGATCAGATGGGCCCCAGTGGAGCATGCTGTACTTTACACATTTATAATCATCCAAGAAGGCTCCACTGTCCACATTGACAGAAACACCAGTGACACAGAACTGGTGATCAGTGGCTTAAAACCAGGAACTAACTACACCATCAAGGCACAAGCACTGGACGATATGGGACGCCCTGGAGATGACCAAACATTCAGCCAAATCACACGTAACACACACATTACAACTATCAGCACCACAGACTGTATATATAAATGGACATAGCTAATCCACTAGCCAATGCGTTCCAAATAGGAAGTGAACCTAGGGGCACTTCCGGCTCCATTGACTTTTTCCAAATGAGTTTACATGGAAACATTGTCGACTTCCTCTCTATAACTGCTGGAGTGAGCCTTCTCATATTGGTCTTAAAATGTTCATATATTAGCTCACTTTATTTTGTCCATGACATAAATAAATTATATTATTATATTCCTAATGTGGAACTCAGCTCCAAATTCACCCCTACAACCTCTAGCATCGTGATCTTAATTTGACTGGAGCCAAACGCTATAGGTGACACCCGAACTCCCTTAGTCCACTTCTTTGTACAGTCTATGGTTAACACACAATCTCCAAACCTCATCGGTCCTTTACTGTTATTCTGTGCCCAGGTCCATCCAGCCCTGATGTACTTGATGTTCAGATCAGCCAAGGCCGGTCAAATACAATGGTGTACTGGGAAGCGGTAAAAGGAGCGACATACTACACTGTCTGGACCACTAACAAACAAACATGCAACGGCACAAGTCCCAGCTCCTGTATTCTTGAACCGGTGGAGTGTGGTCAGAACCAGACCCTCTCAGTGACAGCTTACAATGATGCCGGACCCAGTGACCCGTCAAACCCAGCGCTATATCTCACTTGTGGGTATAACACAACATATTAGGCTGTATACTATGTATATAAAAAGTAATGTATATAAAAATGCATTTACGCTGGAGGATCAATTCCTGCCCTGATCAAGTTCTGAGTTGGCTGTGATGTCTGTGATGGTAAGATATGCACTGATCCAGCTTTTTCAGTTCTGATGCCTATTTCGTGCTTCAAGTATCTCGAAATACCCGATATCAACTGATACCAATGCAGAGAGATAGCATTTAATTCCTTAAAACAAAAATAAAATTTGACAAAAACGAGTAACTACAGACAACTTTGTATAAATACAAATTCAAACATTATGAGACTTTCCAACTGCGACCAGTAAATAGTTTGATCACTTTGATTTATATGTCCAACAAAGATATTGGCTGAACCGATCCAGCATATTTTCAGATTGCCTCATCTCCATAGGCAAGACACTTTAAGCACTTTTCTTAGTATGAATGTGGTGTGTGAGTAACACCAGGGTTCCCACTTCTTTTCATTGACAAAATTTAAAAACTTTTCCATCACTTTTTCATGACTAAAAGTTCCATGACTTTACCACACCCTACATGTGTAGAACTGAGCATTCTTTTGGGGCTAAATATGAAATGTTAACCCTTTCCACTCACCTTATGGTTTGATATTATAATTTTTTAAACATTCAAAATAGTCAGTGCATTTATTGTCATCTCTTTTATACAAAAGGTGTGTACATTTGGAAATAATCATAACAGCCTAATGATAACTTAACAGAATGCTGTAATTGCATGAAAGAGATATTAAAATTACATGACTTTTCTAAAATATTCATTGAATTTACAAAATTCCATGACTTTTCCAGTCCTGGAAAATTATGTTTTCAATTTCCATGACTTTTCCATAATTTCCATGACCTTGGGAACTCTGCAACTCATTGGTGGTGGCTGGAGGGGACAATGCTGCAGATTGGCAGCCTTGCTTCTGTCAGTCTATCCCAGGGCAGCTGTGGCTTAGTACCTTACCATCTGTAGAGTGAATGAATAATAAGGGTTAGGGGCTATGAGTGAATCCAGTGCCTTGTATCTTGTATAAAACTATTTGTTGGTGGAACTATTATAAATATTACAAATATTGTTATCTGTTTTTGTAGACCCCTGTCCTCCAAATAACACCAGAGTTGAGGAGTATGAGCCTGGGAACTGCTCTGTTATATGGGACGAGGTGGAAATGGTGGACTACTACATGGTTTTTGTGAAAGATAACGATGGCAACGAAAAGCTGTGTAATACTACTGAGACCAGCTGCTCATTCGAGTGCATGTGTGGCCACTTTTTCATCAGCATTGTGGTCCCCTATAACTTAGCTGGAGGCAGCCCTGTGGTGGAACTGGTCAACTACACCACAAGTATGAGCCTCAACAACTGCCTTCAATACAACACATTAAATAACATCATGGTGCGCTCTGTAATAGTCACAAGGAATCAATAAAGCAAAGAGCAATTATGGCCTAAAATGTTTATCATAATATAAAATAGAAAAGTGGTGTTAATATAATTGACAATACATCTAAGGCTGCTTTTATAATAATTGCAATTGTTCTGGGCTATTTAAGTTACAGCTATTAAGTTCTTCTACACATCTTGTCTTAACTCTCTCATTATTAGTTTTTAACCTCTGCAGAGCCTTCACAGTCAGCATTGCTCTAGGCATTAGTGGTAGCAGTTAGCCACAATCTGGGTTTGCCTTTGCTCACAACTGAGAAAAAAATCAACTGCTATATCATGATATTCCAAATTTCATGTCATATCTTTGTTATATAATTCCATATTCCTATTTCAAACACACCATGGCAAAACAATTTTCAAAAAGCTAAATCAGTTACATTGTCTGTTTTTGCCCCCAGTCCCTTGTTGTCCAGAGAGCATTAACATTACACTAGTTTCCTCTGAGACGGTGGAGATCGAGTGGTCAGAAGTGAGTGGAGCTGAGCTGTATGCGGTCACTGCAGAAGAGACAAATGACATCATCCACTGTAACGACACTGAGAACATCTGTGCCCTATCCGACCTCGAGTGTGACACTACATACTCTATTAAGGTAACACCATGCAGCGAAATAAGAGGATGCAACAAAACCTGCAAGGCACACACACAAGTGACAGGTACAAACTAAATAAACTTGATTAACAATACTTAATAAAACTTGAATGTACAGTGATAACAACAATAGTTATGACTGTACTCTGCATCTTGTTGCAGCTCCCTGTGCTCCTGAGATCATTAATATTACACAAGTGAATGAAGAAACATACAGAGTTCACTTCAGCACCCCCAACAGAGAGGGCACAGTGTACACCATCACTGCCTCTGTCCCTGGTACAACTCAGTCTCATGTTTGTACCAGCACAGAGAGCTCCTGTGAGCTGACAGGCCTGCCCTGTGGGACCATCTTTGAGGTAATGGGGGTGGCCCAGACAAATGGTGGAGGAAGAAGTCTTCCTGGTTATGATGAAATATTGGAAACAGGTATGTCATAGAATACATTAGTATACCACCTATCTCAAAGAAGACTACCACCACTGCCCATAACATGTGTGCAGGTCCGTGCTGTCCTCAGAGTGTTGTGGTGAAACAAGTGACTCAGGCTATGACCAACGTGAGCTGGACCGAAGCGTCTGGCGCCCGCTCATTCATAACTAGTTTGAAGTCACGGCGAGGAGAAGCCAAGTGTCACACTGTGGACAACAGCTGCCTAATGGGCTGCATCACCTGTGGCACCAACTACACCATCAGCATGGAGGCCATCAGCAGCACAGGACACAAGTCGGAGTGCAGTTACAATGGCTTCTCATCAAGTGATTCACTTTCACACCATTAACAAACTTTTTTGATTCATAATGTTGTTTTCTCATCAAAAACATACCTGGAGTCGTGTTATGTTTCATTTACACATGTTTAACACACAAATCCTGCACATTTAGGCTATGTTCTTCTCCATAACGGAAAACACTCTGTTCCACATTGTGATGTCACTGGGTGATACAGGAAGAGCTCCACTGTGTTTTTAAACCCCATACACCATCACTAGAATCATTTGGATAATTTCAGCCCTGGCATTGCCAGTCTCTACTGAACAAAAGGTAAAAGGTAGCTGTGAAATTGAAAATTACTGCTTCATGTCATCACAATGTGGAACAGAGCATATTGAGCTTTGGAAATGTAGACAGATTAATAATAAATAAATACTTAAAACACGTGTGAATGAAATAAAACACAATTCCAGGTATGTTGTTAAGGACCTAACAGCACTGTAATATGTCTCAATCTCACAAGAGTCAATTTTGCCTAATAGAGGACCTTTAAAGTACTATAATTCAATGTGTGTGCTTATGAGCCATTGACCATGTATCATATATTACAGGTCCCTGCTGTCCAACAAATATCAAGCTTTATCGAATACCAGGAAAGCTCCAGTTAAGGGTATACTGGAGGTCTTTGGGCCCACACATCTACAACCACAGTGTTAAATTAACAGGGAGAATGGCTGACCTGAACTGTGAGGCTGCTCCTGGAGTCAGATACTGTGATGTAGAGGAGAGTGCCTGTGGAAATGTCTACACAGTATTGATAACTCCTGTGCTCCCAGATGGCACCAAAGCTGACTTCTGCCAAGAGAGAACATACTCAGGTAAGGGTGAATAGTTGAGCATAATAATGACAGGGCACTAATTACAGTTAAATAATTGTATTTTAAATATGCCCTTTTCAGTTCCCTGTCCTGGAAATGCCGACATATGTAAGTTTTCTCCCTCCCAGTGCTGCACTATTCGCTAATCATTCCATGTTAACTGTTAAAACTCTCATTTTTTTTAGTGATGGTTAATGTGTGACGATAGAAACAAGAAACAATTGGTAAGTGTTAAATATGTCATTTATTACTGATTTTTGTTATTTATTACTGATTTTACAGATGGTAGTTACAGCAAAGACAATAGAATATAAGCAGAAGATAACTAACTTTGAGTAAAGACATTTGTCCTTATGTCTTCTATGTTTTACAGTGAATTTTCTTCAACATCATTTGCATGAAATAAGGACAAAATCTGCGTTCAACCTGTTCAATCTGTGTAGCTTATGATTATTCTATTCAAAATCAAACCTGAAACTGGTGTTAATGATCAAATAAGTGTAAAAAAAAACAACAACTCCTACATAGCAAAAAATGTGTTTTCATATAAATGTGGACAATTCATGGTTACTTTTTAAACTTATTGACGTGTATATGAGTCCTCCAGCCATATTATAACAGTGGTATAATAGGAAAGTAACTCTTAAAACATAAATATTTTAGGACACCCCTAAGTAGAGAACCTCCACAGGCTGTGGCAGGATGACCCTAGCGTGTTGGTTTCTGTGCTTGTAGGTGGAGCAGCACATAGATCCATATTAAACTGGGTTTGTTCACTGTCCTGTGGATGATACTATGTTTATCTGTGATTACTTCAATTAACATAATACAATAAAAGACATAGTTTACATGAATGTGAGTTTTCATTATTGTGATCCATAATCATCTGTGTGCCACATTAACACAAAGCATATCATCTTCTTCATCCGGGTGTATAATATAATGTTAATAATAATAAATAACAATAATAGCAGTATGAAACCAAAATGTGTTGTGATTCAAGAGGTCCTGTTTTAATTAAGAACTTCTCAATTTAGCAATGTTTTTTTGGTTTTGATTTGGACACAGTTCAGTTTGACTGGTAACCATTTTAGTTTTAAACAAATTTAACCAACCTAGTACTTAAATATATACTGTGGCCATAAAACTGTTAATAGAAATGTTATTGGGCTGCTATAATATTTTAAAATGTCCAAGACCAAGCTACTCTGTTGTCTTATTTTTTTCTATGGAGAAGACCAGCAAAACAAACATCCCCTTTAAAACAATGTAAGAGAATTTATTCACAGAACTCTTTCTTTTCTATTTTCCTCTTGTCACATATATAACATTATGATGTGTGCAAACAATGGATCTGCAAATCTGCTGCTTAGGGATGGTACAAGATCTCGTGAGACAAAATTGCCACAAGATTGTGTACACATGAGAAAAAAAAAAATCTTTGTGTTATTTTTTCCCCAAGTGTTCACATATGGACTGAACAAAAAAGGAGTACAGAAAATGAAAACAAAAATATTAAATCACATCAATAAAAAAGTATGAGGTCAAAATAGAAATTGAATCGTGAAATTCAGATATTAGGAATTATCTTAAACTCTCATTTCCCTGGGCCCAATCTTGTATCTCATCTTGTAGAAATGATCTCATCCCATCCCTACTGCTGCTACAGTTGTTTCTGTGTAGGAAAAAAGTAGTCAGCAAAGGTTATAGGATAAGGACTTGGGGCATTTAGAATTATACTGGACAAACGTTTCACAAATTTTATAGCTTGTGATGGCTAGGTGAATCCTTTGTGATTATTATCGAGAGTTGGAACAGAAGTCCCAGGGGAGAAAGAGAAACATACTAGCATATTTGAGTTTCGGAGGTGGGGCTAAAACAGAGGCAAAAGAGGAGCTGTGTGTGAACAAGTGTAAACTAGCATATTTTAGAAGGGATTTATTTATTTTTTTTAACATGGAGGTGCAGAAGAAATGTGAGTCTGTACAATCACTGACTATGACCATAAATTCCCTAAGAAATGGTCAAATCTTTCTGCTGCAACAGAAGACACAGAGCGGATGAGCTCTGGGTTTTCAGCATCCACTGAAGTTCTTTCTTTAAAATAGTGGAATGAATTTAGCAAAGATAAACATTTACATCAGTTTACTGAAAAACAAATAAATAAACTTGGAGTGGATAGAGCACATCCTTCCTTCCTTCTGGTGTAGTTTTAATACCATCATTAGAAATAGTTTATCCATGATGGCTTGTTACTTGAATTATTATTGACTTTTGGAAGTCTTGGGATTTTTTTCAAGACAGATTTTATGAGATTGGCTAACTATAATTGTAGATGAATTTATACAACTGTACCAAGTTGTTATGCGTTATGCTTGCAAGTACACTAAAGGTAGCAATATTTAGCTAAATGGAAGAAACTTGCTGGTTTGTACAGAATAAGACCAACACATAAGCACATATAAACATCATTTCGGTAAGACTTTTAGTCAAGGGCAGTTCCTCTTGTTCTGACACCAAAAAACAAACAAACAAACAAACAAAAACAAAAAAAACACAGCAAGCAAACATTAAAGTCTGTTACATTTTCAAACATTTACAGAGCCCACTAATGAGCATTTCCCCCCTTGTGTGAGGTCTATAGGACACATGCACACAGCTCAGGCTATTGTTAAGAGCAATATTAAATTACTTTTCACTCACAGTTACTGCAAGATTATACTGTCCACGCCATGAGAGCCCCAAAACAAAAATCAAATTAAAAAAAAGACTGTTAAATCCAAGTTCACAGGAGTTCAACCAGCATAAAAGTGTTCAAAAGTAATAAAATGTCCAAATTATCTGTCAAAGAAGAATATTTAAGAAAAAAAAAATAGACAAAAATTGTTCTTAAAATAATCTCTTAATCCATTGTCTGTTCACAGTACACATTTGACACAGCAGTCCATGTTTCTAACTATGTAGGATGTAAGGTTACCAAGTATTATACACAATAATGTGTGTATAATGAAGGAATATTTAATTGTGTGCAAAAGGCATTATCGTATGTGCAAAAGGCATTATCGTATTAAATACTGTAATGGCAGCATTAATTATTTGCTAGTTTCTTCATTATTGGATTGGTAATAATAATCAGGAAGACCTTTCTGTCATGCAGTTAACTAAAAGGTTTTCAAAATAAGCAATCATCCTGTTTTATTAGCCGTATTTCTTTTTATTGCCCTATATATATATGTATATATATACACACACACCCTGCCAGTGATCAGATACCCAGCAGGAATCATAAGCTGGCCAAAGTAGGAGATACAGACCACAGATGTTAAGACACGAAAGCTCCTGACCATGCATGGAGGGTTCCATCCCAAATCCAGTACCCTGAGAGTGTACGCAAGCCGTAAGGAAGGGGGCCGAGGACTAGTGAGTGTGGGAACCATTGTCCAGGATGAAACATCCAAGCTCCTTGAGTACATCAAGGACAAGGCCCCGACAGATGAGGTGCTCAGAGAATGTCTCAGACAGTGGGGTCCAGAGGAAGAGGTGCTGGAGGGACCATCATGGCAGGACAAACCCCTACATGGGGCGTACCACCGGAACATAACTGAAGCGGCTGATATCAAGCAATCCGACCAATGGCTTGAGAGGGCTGGTCTGAAGGACAGCACAGAGGCACTGATCCTGGCTGCTCAGGAGCAGGCCCTGGGCACACGAGCAATAGAGGCCCAGATCTACTGCACCAGACAAGACCCACGGTGTAGACTGTGCTAAGTGGCCCCTGAGACAGTCCAGCACATAACTGCAGGGTGTAAGATGCTGGCAGGGAAAGCATACATGGAGCGACATAACCAAGTGGCGGGCATAGTGTACAGAAACATCTGTGCAGAGTACGGGCTGGAAACCCCAGGATCAAGGTGGGAAACACCTCCAAAGGTTGTGGAGAATGACCGAGCCAAGATCCTGTGGGACTTCCAGATATAGACTGACAAGATGGTGATGGTGAACCAACCAGACGTAGTGGTGGTGGATAAGAAACAGAGCAGAGCCAGGGTGGTGGACATTACAATACCAAGCGATGGTAATATCAGGAAAAAGGAACACGAGAAACTAGAGAAATACCAGGGCCTCAAGGAAGAGCTGGAGAAAGCCTGGAAAGTAAAGGCATCAGTGGTGCCTGTGGTGATCGGACACTCGGGGCTGTAACCCCCAAACTGGAAGAGTGGCTACAACAGATACCGGGAAAAACAACGGACATCTCAGTCCAGAAAAGTGCAGTACTGGGAACAGCAAAGATACTGCGCAGAACTCTCAGGCTCCCAGTACCCACGCTGAATGAGAGAGACCAACCACCGTGGAAGGTGAGAAAGACACACACATAAAAAAAATAAAAATAAAATAATAATAATAATTATATATATAATTATATATATATATATAGTTTTTTTTTTATTTTATTTTATTTTTATACAACACAAACATTTTTTCTCCATTAGTTTTGACATAATACCTGCCATAGTAATATTAGTAATAGAACCTTTCACACACGGCATTTTCCATACACACCATTTCACCCAACTCATCATTTTAGTAGTTTAAAAGTTACATTCACTCATTGTGTAAGGCTGACATTGTAAGAAACTTCGAGAAATGACATCAGTGCAGGAATAATGTAGAAGGGGACTTCACTTGTCTCTGGAGCAAAACAGATCACATTACCTTAGCCCTAGCACATCTTATAAATGACCATTAGAATCAATATTCTTCTGAACAAGTGGCTTATTACTGATACATACAATACTACTTTTTGAATTGTAAGATTGTGAAGACTATGATGCAAGTATTCTGAGTTCAGGAATAACATTTTGCTAGCCAAGAGGAAGTGAACAATATCAGGATGAGAAAGGGGTGGCAGCGCCCCCACCTACAGCTAACAAACCACATTTTTGTTTCCTTGTCTTGATGACAGGGGCCCACAGGCATCCACCTGTCCTCCTTTAGACCATTCTGATTGGTTCTCATAAAGTTGATGTATAGCTCTCAACTTGTGGAGATCTCAGAAGAACATTTTGGGACACAACTAATGGATGAATACTATACTACACTGAAGAAGTTATAATGATTCCTACAAAGATGTGGATGCTTTACTTAACAGCCACCATATTGTCTGTTATGCAGGTAAAACAAAGAGTTTGTTACATTTTGCATAATTTTGTATTTGATGCATTAATTAATCTTTTTTATCTAATCTTTATTTGATCTGTTTTTATAGATACACAGTGCTGCCGGTGAGTGTATATTTTGTTACCTTGGTGTATTAGCATTCAAAATAAATATAAATCTTTCATTTTTGTGTCATGATTTTTATTGTCAATGTGTTGGAGAAAGCCAATCAGGTCTTGAACATTATAATCCTCATTACATTTGAATTGCCTGTTTTTCAGGATGCACCATAAATTCAGTGACCTCTTCATCAGCATCAACAATGACCATAGCCTGGGATGCTGTCTCTGATGTCACCTCTTATCAGCTGGTGCTCAAAGTCATTAACTCTACCACTATTGCAGCAGTGACTGCGTCTGTGAACGCTCCCACCACCACAAAGCGTGTCTATGGTTTGAGACCAGGACATCATTATGAAATTACACTCACAGTGTTCAAGTACTTCACTAAGATGAGTACTTGCAATTCCACTGGCATGACAGGTACAGATAACATCTACAGATATCTGCACTAAGTATGGTTGAATGTTGTGATTTAAAAAAAAAAAAAAAAAAAAAAAAAGTATGATGTGTGAGACACACAACATCTACAGGTTGTAACTGGAGTTTGAGCTAA